AGACACCAAGGCGCGTCTTTCTTTTGCTCGGAGGCCTGGAGACAGGCTTCCGTAAAATGGTACCGTTCCTAGACTCCTGCTTTGTTTTTGAAAGGAATCTTTGCCCTCGCATTTCAACGCTGAAGAGTTCATCTCTTCTTGCCCCTCAGTTGGTTTCCTCTTCTCTCCCTCAAAGACCAAGGATGCACTTGTATCTTGGGAAGAGACAGAGCGTTGTCTGAGAGTAGCCCGGCTCTCTGTGGTGAATGGAAGTTGCTGTTCTGTCTGCAGGTACCAGGACCACCACAGGTGAAGCTTCTTGTGGAAGCCAAGGCTGTTCATGTCTCTCTCTTCCAGGGACGCCTTACTCCCTGCCCTTGCAAGGCTTCCCACATTGGGCCCTTCTGCAGTATCGGATCCGTCTTTCACTCTTGTGGAGCCTCTCTGTTTGCGAGGCAGGTGCCACATGGCCTGTTGAATAGTATAGGCAGCCATTCCAGCGGCAAATATTTGAAAAAAGCAACTCAAATTCTAATTGGAGCCCAGCTTCTGTGTGAGCTGTTGTATGTGCCACAAAGCCTCTCTCTGGCTGGTTTGCCCAAACTCTAAAAGGGAAATAGAAATCAAAATAATTGGAAATTGATCCCAGTGGTAAAGATCAGCAGCTAAACACAGAGCATATGAAAGATGAGTGTATAGAAAGATAAACCACTGTGGACTGCAGCAAGATCTAGAAGAAGGCTCATGAAGGATGGACACTGTGTACAGGGACCCATCATCTGCACATGGATGGTGGTGCTTTCTCCCAGAAACCTCATACCCTTCAGCTTTCTCTTCCCAATTTTCTTCATGGGCTTCTCTTCCCACACCTTCCCCTAAATGCCTCATGCTCCTAGGGCTCTATCTTGGCTCACCCCTGTTCTCACTCCATGCTCTTTCCCTGAGTGATCTCACCCACTTCCATGGCTTAAAGCCACTACCATGCGCTGCTGACAAGTTCTCCTGCTCAGACCTCTCTTCAGAGATCTTGTCCGGTTGACTTCTCCAGCTAGATGGCTCAAAGGCAGTGATACTCCACTGACATGAAGTGGAGCTCACCATCTCTCCCTTGTCACCCCAAACCTGCGGCTCCCCTGTACTTTCTGTCTTAACCAAGCTTGAATCAGAAGAACCACCAGTCTCACTCTTACTCCCTATTCTTCCCTGGTCTTCAAATACTACCCATGTATATCCTTTTTCTCGCCACTGCCCTTCCAAGCCATCTCCAAGGGCTTCAGTTCATCTCCTGGCCTCCCCTCCCACATCCTCCAGTCCAGCCTTTACACTGACAGCCATCATCTTTCTAACATCCTCATCTGATTGTGCCTTTGCTGCTCAGATTTCAACAGCTCCGCATCACCCAAAGACGAGGTCTGTCCTCTTTGTTTCATCATTACAGATCTCAATCTTCGCACCCCTGCCTAGGTGCCCCACCTTGTTACTAGCCATTCTCTAACACTCACCCAAGTGTTTGCTTGGCCCCAGATGCTCTCTTGGCTTGGTGCTTTGCTAATATGCTGTTCCTGCTTCCGCAGAGGCTTCCTCAGTATGGTCTGCCCAGTGATTCCAAGGCTGCCGCCACTGTGAAGCTATCCCTCACTCCCCAAGGGAAACCAAAATGCTCATTGTTCTGTGCCCACTTAGAACGTGGAGTTGACCTAGCACTTGTCCTGCAACTATTATAAATGTATTGTGTGAGTCAGCCATTCTGGATGAAAAGTTCCTTGATGGTAGGGACATGCATGGCCCCCAGAGTAAGCATTCAACAAACGTTGAGTGGGCAAATATCAGGATGCCCACACGTGACAAGGAAGTCAACCCAGCATATAGCAAAAGCATCTTAATCTTTCTCACACTGCATAAGAGAATGACTTTCTAGTCTGGAACCTCCGTTGGCAAGTCCATCCGAAGCAGCCCAGTTGAGGCTAAATAGCTGTGTGCCACCAGAGGTGGGCAGCCAGGAGGCATGCATGCCGCCAGTCACGTATCAGTTCCTTCAAGAAACACCCCTGCTTGTCTTTTCTTTCAAACATAGCCACAGATCTGCAGGATGAAGAAACAATGTCTGAGGTTATGCGAGGTGGTCCTCAGCTTTGCATCCAACCCTGTGGCACTTGGACCATGGGAAAAGATCTGAACTTTTAGTTAGACTTCATCTCTGGGTAGCACCTTAACAGAATCTAGCATCCCAGTCATCGGAATTCCTGGCTTGGGAGGAGTGAAATGGTGCAGGTGCTCACTTCTCTGGTTTGTTTCCCTTTTAAGGGAGTTTTGTTTTAATCCCTGGCAAAGGAAGGTGCCTTATCTCCAGCCAGGGGGTAAAAGTAGGCTATGTTCTTAAGAACTGGGATTTGCTCTTCTTTGTTCATGTTTGAGGAAGGAGAGCCCTTTCAGCTTGCAGCACCGAGCAAAGCTCGGAGATACTTGCTGTACAAGCAGAGAACATGTGCCTGCCTTGGGGAAAAATGGCCAAGAGGAGCTTACATCGCCCAGGAACACATCTAGAAATAGCTTCTCGGGAAGGCCTACTCACCGTGTTGTGAAGTTGTGTAGGAACCTTTTGTAGGAAAACAACTCCCAGTGGCCCACATTTTCACTATATGGGTGAGGCAGGCTCTTTCATCCCTCTAACAGGAATTCTGGTTGTCCAGATCTTTTCTAGAAAGGAGCTAGTACTGACTGGACTACTAGTCTCACTGAGCCAAGATTTGCACCCCACTCTCCCCAACTCTTAAAACACCATATTGTCCTCTTGGCTTATAAAATACCCATTTACAACATGATTTAGTAGCTCAGGATTCTGTTTTATCGTGAGTGGCTTTTACATGATGAAACTGTAGGGCACTGGTGAAAAGTCTGGCCCATGAGATGCTCCGTACTCTCTGTGACAAATTGTGCCCAAGTGTGCTGTGGGGTTGTCCAGACTTCACCGAACCATGATCCACTGAGTTTTCCGAGCAGCAACTTGGGACTTTTCAAAGATGTGAGTAGTCAACATGAAACCTGGTGCCAAAGCATTAACAAGTCACTGGCCCCAAAGCCAGAGCTGTAGTTTTTGCTGCTCACTCTGCAGAAAGATTAGCATTGTTTCAACAACAAAACGTGGTGGAGAATAAAGTCTGGTAAAATGGGTGCAGGATGTCACAGGAGGGAAAGCGCCAGAGCCTGAGCTGGAAGGTCCCGGACTCTGTGCAACCGCAGTTTGAGTCAAGGAGGACATAAGTGGTTGATACTATGTGCCTGGGGAAGCCTTTTCTCTTTGTGGTTCCTGATGGTCCCAGAGGGACTCTCTGCTTGTCATGGTAGAACGAAGGGCCTCAAAGCACAGAATCAAGTGATCTCTTGCCTGAGATGACTGAGTTTGGTCTTCAAATGGCATTGGATAGCCAATTCTATTTCTTTAGAGGTTCCCCTTCTTCAGCCTTCACAATACTGCAGATCAAGAGGTAAACTCACCAGGCCCACCCTCCCCTTGTAATCTTCGAATTTCAGGAGATCATTGAATACCCACATTCCATAAGCCTAGGTTGGGTTCCCCGGGGAGGCCGGGCCTGATTTCAGAGTAGGCCAGGTTTCTTTCATCAATCCCAGTTAACTACTTTAAAAATTGAATATTGGAAGTTTCCCACTTATTCTGGAGTGTTTGTCAGTGCCTCAGAATAAAGCACTTGGTGCAACAGACAGTATCTTGTAGTCAACATGGTTAGTAATGGATAATACTTTGTAGGAAACATGAGTAACATTTATCCAGTGCTTCAACATTTCAAAGTACTTTGAAGTCATTGTTTATCCAGCCCTACCATTGATGGGCTGTTTGGTCCTCATCTCACAAGAAGTTACTACAAGGCAGGAAAAGGCCAGGAGTTGGGAGGCCTGGTTCTAGTCCCCATTTTACCACATACTTGCTCCGTGACTTAGACAATGACTTAACTTTGCCATCTGTAAAATGAGCGAAGGGTCAGGGAAGGTGATTCTAGAGAATTCTCAAAGATCTTATTAGCTCAAAAACTCTGAATTAAAAGAGCAGGGGCAAGTGCTTTGTTTTGGTTGAACTTAGCAAGGTGATAGTTTTCATGGATTTTGATATAGTTACTATTTAATTTTCCCAACTCTAGAATCCAAAATGTGGGCTTATTTCAGATATGCTTTGGAAATTCTATTATCCTATGATCTAGCCAATCTTTGGGCCTTTCCAGTCCTGGTATATTTGTGGTTGCTATTCAAGGAAAAGGTCTGAGACACATCCAGACACATTCCATAGCCTGGAGAAATGGTCAGCGGGGGCACAAACACACACACACACACACACACACTGGAGTGATAGTTTTGGAGTCTAGGATGCCCTTATTTTCCCGCTGGGGCATAGGAAAGCAGAAGGAGGATTAGGCTAAGAATGACAGCAACTCCACCCATGGACTTCCACGGTTGCCTGGGTGAGCTCTTCCTGTGGAAGTGGCAGAAAGAGCATGTGGAGAGCTACACTGAACCTAGAAGGAAATCTTGGAGATGAAGACTCATCATATGTAGTTTTAACATTCTAAGTCAGTTCTTTCCAAATCAGTAATGAAGTAGTCTGGCCAAAGCAGTGGTTCCTTGCCATGTTTTCAGTCATGAACCCCTTTGAGAACCTTATGGAAGCTATGGTGACTTCTGTCCAGAAAACTACTCATATATCCACAAATTGGGGTATAATTCTAGGGAATTCCTATATGCCCTGCAGCCCATGGACCCCAAGTTTGCAACCCCTAGTCTAAAGTAGAATAAGGGAGCCTGACAGTGGGAATGTCAGGGCTAGACCAAGACTTTGAAGTCCATAATTTGCTGCCAAAATGGAATTGAACAACTAGTAACATAAAGGGTTTTTTTCTTCTTTTTTCCCCCTCTGACCATCACCCTCCTTTTCTTCTCTATTCCCACATCTTTTGTCATCTCTTGTTCCCGTTCAATTTCTCTCCCCATCTCTTGCACATCTTGCACCACAGATGTTCCGGCCTGGTTAAAAAGCCTCCGCCTGCACAAGTATGCTGCGCTTTTCTCCCAGATGACCTACGAGGAAATGATGGCCCTCACTGAGTGCCAGCTGGAGGCTCAGGTAAGTGCTGCCGGTGACCATCCCCTGAGAAGGTGCCCCAGGTGGAACCTGAAGTTCCCGCCCAAGACAGACCTTGTTTGGACCCATACCTATCCCCACCCAGTAGCTTGCCTTGTTCTACGACCTGCTAGGTGCTGGCCAGCATTACATGGTGAGTAAGGCTGGGTTCTTGTCTTCAGCGTCCAGTAGGAGGCGGGGGACCAGCACATAACTGCAAGGCAAATACAGCTCAGGAGAAAGAGTATTATGAAAAAGGTTATAAGTTCAAGGTGGAATGGCCTAGAAGGAACATTTGACCAAGGCCTCAAAGAGTCTGTGTTCCAGCCTTTGCTTTCCCTGCCCCCTCCCTCCATCTGTCCGACTAAGGGTGGTTTGGACAATGCCAGATTGGTTGTTTGTTGTCCAGTCCGGTTACAAATCAGCTAACTTCTAGTAGTTAGTGGGTAGAAGCACCAGGTCATGCCTCAGACCTTCCCCAACACTTTTCCAAAAACGTGTTCAGATTGGACTTAGTTGAGACTGGAGTAAGTTGTGCAAAACACTTTTTCTTCTAACTGCCTTGCATAACACGGGACCGTCACAGAGAATGGGATAACCCCAGGTCTCAGGTTTCATTTCCCTTCTGGGTGCCATCAAAGAACAAAGTTCCCCCTTCCTTCTCAGGCGTCTTTCCCCAAGGCTAGGCCAGTCAACAGACCCCCCAAAACCAAACATGTTTCCTACCATGCTGTGCTCGAGTAACTAGATCTGACCAATGTGTTTGTTTCTCTTGTTTAAAATGCCATTTGCAAAATAAATAAAATAAAAAAATAAAATGCCATTTGCATGTTTCAAATTGACCTCAATTTCCTTTGAGCAACAATTTAAAAGAATTAATGGTCTGAACAGGCTAATAGTATTTCCCTTGCAGGAAGAGGAGATTGTACCATTTGGGGCAGTACTGCCCTGGACTCAAAGCTCCCAGCAGGTGCTGGTTTCCCACTGCACCTTCAGTTAATTAACCTCTGCAGGCCTGGCTGAACACAAGTATTGAGATGCAAGACAAAGCCCAAAGTCACTGCACATTCTCGGAGAATGAAAAGCACTAATTTCAACTTCCTAACACTTCTCCCACCACTTTTTGGATCTCGATTGCCCCTTGAGATCCCAGGGATTGATGGAACTACTTCTAAGAGCATTTTTTGTGTTTGAGTCCGAGTTGAGGGGAAAAAAAATCTAAGCCCTCAGTTATTTGACTTGGGAAAAAACAAGACATAATTGACAGAGAAGGCAAAGCCAGAGGCCAGAACAAACTTTTCAGAGTAATTTAATTCACTTGAACCCAAAGTCAAGGCTAAACAGAAATCTGCCCCCAGCACTTCATCTTAGAGAGTGAGTTCAGTTGTCCCTTGAGTGTTAATATCTCTGAAGGAGATGTCTCTGGTGTTCCCATCTTTTCCTCCTGTAAGAGGAATTCTATGAATTGCTGCAAGAAGTCACCAGAAGCTTGTCTTAGAGACCTGACTTAAGAAAGGACCTCCTTTTTGGAACTTTGCAGTATCTCTAGTCAACAAGCATTGACCTAAATCCTTGGGCTCACCATTGCACAGTTAAACCAAAATCCACAGCCGTAACTGTGAATTCTAATCGTTTAGCTCAAGTGATGACTGAATTGAGTTTTAGGTTCTTTTATATTCTGGTTTTCCTTATGGAGACCAAAGATGACCTGCAAACTGCCCAAAACGGCCCTGTGTTGTTTGGCACCCGGTGAAAACCATATCAGACTTCAGAGATGGGAAAACCTAGGAAAGGTTGGAGAAAACAATGAAGCTCTGTATGGGATTGGAACCTTCAAGCAACCTGGGTGGGACTGAAATGACAATATGGAGAAAGAGGGATGTATGACTTTAAAATGATCATTTAAGACTGTGAAGAAATTTCATGCTGGGTGGGTAATTTGCTGTTCTAGCTCTGTCTCTCTCTCTTTTCTCTCCTAAAGGTCACAGCCAAAGTACACAGGTAAATGTATAGCCAGATGTAGTCAGAACATTTAGTAAGGAGAGGTTTATGACAGAGGGGACTGAAGAGAGAGACAAATGGATATTTACTAGTCCACAAACATAGGAACCAAGAAGACAGTAAAGTACTAAATAGCCTCCAGGAGTCTCTAAACTGATTCTTAAAAATATGTTTTTAAATTAACTTTTATTTAATTACAGAATGTTACCAAAGGTGCAAGACACAAAATTGTCATCAGTATTCAGAAGCTCAAAGAAAGACAAAACCTCCTGAAGTCTTTGGAAAGGGTGAGTGATCACCAGGGGAGGGCAAATCTCTGCCACCATGATGGGAAAAGTCTCAGCTGAAGGTGTCATTGGCAGACCTTATAGAGTGTTCCGCCTTGTTTCCTTACCAAAGGCAGAAAAAAATGAAAGGATTTTGAAGTGAAAGTTTCCTGGTTATCCACACTTCTATGGAACCTGACCACTGACATATACTTACTGCCTGGGTCCAGGCAGCCTGTGACTGGCCATCCCAGTAGACTCCAGCTTCAATAGAGGGAATCAGAATCATTTGGCTGATAAGCCCTTATCAGCTGCTACTGTCCCTTTTTTTCGCTGCCTAAACAGGTTCTCTTCCTATCCTTGTATCCAGACATTGCCCTCATACTGGTATCATTTTGGGGACTTGGTAACTTCATGATTTCATCTAAGGTACAGAGGAGAGCAAGCCTCGTTCCTGTGCTGCCTCTGCCCCAAGCTGGGATTCTTGTGCAAGCACTGCTGTTGGGAGGTGGTTGGGATTGGTGGGCCGGAAGCTCCGTGGGCACATGCTCCCTGCACAGCCTAAGTGGTCATGTCGTCCAGTAATCCCAGGGTGCCTTTGGAAGGGAACAGAGTATGGAGCTAGGCGGGCCTAACACAAGTTGTGTGAGCATGTCAACATTTTAGTGCAATGAGAGTTTTTCTTTGCTGATTTATAAAGATGTGTGTATATAATTTTACATAGAATATATAAAGTTACATTTAATGCATATCACATAAAATATCAAGTAATATATATAGAATATGCATATATAACTTTATAAGGAAGGTGGCTTTGAAAGCCTTGGGATCGACAGATGGGTAGAGGCTACTCATGTGGCACATCCGTGCTCAAAGGCCCGCCCTTAATTAAAGTGAATCCCAAATGACAAACGACCTATCCAACTGAACCCAAGGCTGTTGTTCTTAATTCTGTTTTATTTACCAAGCAGTTTGTCTGACAGTGATTATTGCCATCTTTAACATAAGAACCCATTCTCTTTTGGGGACTATGCAAAAGGCCAGTTTTCGCCTCTGTTAGAAAGCTCGGGAAGTGTTCTCCCTAAGGACTAGATTGCTGAGTGTTATGGTGAAAGAGTGATCGTCCCCCTTTATCTCTGGAGCATCCTTCAGGAACTCCCAGGAACTTTGTCACTGAGGAAACGCACCGACCCGAGAGACAGAGATGGAACTACTGTTAGCTCTACTCCCCGTGGCCTTGGGCCAACTCAGTGTGGAAACATAAGGGCAGCAAGGTGTCACAGGTGCCTGGACGTGTCACTGACTTTCTCTCTGGCCTTTGAGGAGTCCATTGCCATTTCGCGCCTCGAATAGTATTAATTCCACAAAAACACCTTCTGCCCGGCTCACTGGAATGGGAATTGTTAAAAAGAGGACAAAAGTAATACAAAATCTGAGGGCAGCTAATGGCCAAGAAAAGAGCAGTAATGAGTTTATTTTGGCATCTTTGGGGAAGAAAGCTTGTGTCTCTCCCAGACCGGCACCGTGAGCTTGCTTCAGAACACCTGAGCTCCGACACCTGTGTGGTCCTCCCTTCAGGAGCTGATGGCCTGGGGGTGGGGAGCCTCAACAGCCCCTGAGGACTCAGCCCCTTGGCTCTGTTCTCTCTCCTCTGGGACCCAGGGCCCTCCTGCTCTTGGAGGGAGGGATTTGTCCCTACTGTGTTACCACTTAGGCCACCAGCCACACACTCACACCAGCCCTTTCTGTGGCCTTCCCAGGGGTCCCGAGCTGATTATGCTGTTGCAGATGCTGTCATCAGGCCCCTGCCTACAGCATTCTTACCTCACATAGAACCCAGAGATTTCTAAGGAGATAGCTGGGACCCCGCCCATGGCTAGTTCATAATCAGTAGTTGCTGCAGGTAAGCTCTAGGTCCAGAGCTCTTCCACTCACTCACTGAATACGTACTAAGCAGCTGCCTTGGACTAGATTTACCCCCATCCACTGGAGACTCACCGTGAGTAATACAGAAATACCTGGTTCCTGCCTTTGGGGAGCTCGGATGTGCATTGTGACACAGACATGTCGCACAGACACAGCGGTGCCCTCTCAATCCCCTGTGATCAGCGCCATCACCGAGGCAGGTGGGGGGATCTTCCTGGGATGAGACACAGCGCTCTGCAGGTGTGAGGAGGGGGGAGAGCATGGAGGGGCCAGCACGGGCTGGAGACTCCGTAGGAGCCTAGAGCCAGCCTTGGCGGGCCCTTGAGCTAAGGTGGGGGCCGTGAGGGTGGAGAGGGACAAGAGAGGTCATTTAGCGGAAGTCCAGGCATCGACCCAGGTGCCGTGCCATTTGGGAACAGAAAATATAGGAGGAGCTGCCAGGGTGGGAGAAGTGGAGTTTAGCTGGACAGATTGTCTGAGGTGCCTATGAGACACTGCAGCGGAAAAGGCAAGTTAGTGGCCACAAGGACGATGCTAGAGTCCACAGGGTTTGAAAGACTCACTGTGGGTCATCTGTGTGGAAATGGCGGTTGGTTCCCCAGAAGTGTGTGTTGAGTGGTAAGAGCTGAGAACAGACCCCGAGGAGCACCAGAAGATGGAGGGACCAAACAACGCCAGAGGCTGAACCACCCCGAGGGTCAGAGAGAGTGTTTGAAGGAGGGAATCCCATCAGGGGCCGCGAATGTGTCCCATACAATAAGGACTCAACACCGCCCCCTGGAATCGGCCACCAGAGGTCACTGGTAGCCACGGTGAGGAGGGTCGCCAGGAGAATGGAGGGACAGAAAGAAAACCCATGAACCAGGGAGTGTGAATGGGTGAGAAGGCCATCAGGGAAGGAAGTGTGGAGACTTCTCAAGATGTCTGGTGGAAAAGGAAAAGAGAAGATTAGAATGGTCACTGGGACAGACTTTTCAACACTGATCTTTAATACTGAAAATGTTTCCACATGCTTTTATTCTTTTTTTTTTTTTTTTTTTTTTTTTTAAGTATTTATTTGACAGAGACACAGCGAGAACAGGAACACAAGCAGGGGGAGTGGGAGAGGGAGAAGCAGGCTTCCCGCCGAACAGGGAGCCCAATGTGGGGCTCAGTCCCAGCACCTGGGGATCATGACCTGAGCTGAAAGCAGGTGCTTAACCAACCAGGGAAGGCCAGGGACCCCTTCACTGTCCTTTTTGCAACTAACTCCCAAACTGTGAAGCTGGACCCTTCCTTGGGAAGCTGGCATAGAGAAAGGACACACACACACACACACACACACACACACTGTGTTCCCACAGCTCCCAGTCCTGGCAGCCTGCTCACACTGTATGGGACCCAGGAATGGTAAGCATCTTAGGGCAAGGATTCTGCTGTATTCATTTTAGGTCTTGGCTCCCTGTAGGGCTCAGTTGGGGTCTGGTGAATGAAAGGTGGCAAGGGAGTGGATTTAAGTCAATGCAGGCATGCCGTCTACTGCATGAGAAGTCCAGTTGTGCCCATGCAGGGGGAAGGTGGGGCCACGAACAGTGTCTAAGTGCTGGGACACTGGCTGCCCGAGTCCTGTCTTCCAGATGATTTGCCCCTTGCTGCCATTACATGCCCTGTGAAGGTTCCAAACCAGTCTTCCTCTAAGACCTAAGAAAGCCAGGCAAGCGGTTGGTCAGCAAGTAGCTCCTTTTCCTGCATGTGGGCCCTGAGTTGTGCCACCCAAGCTGAGTGCTTCTTGGTACCTGCTCTGCCATGAGCTACTAGACTTGGCCCATTAGTGACCGGACAGCTTCGTTTTTGCCTCTTTGTGTTTATAAGGTAGGATTATATTTATGGTCTGAAGGATCAATACAGACTTGGGTTGGTTCCCTATTTTTGTCAACATGGAGAATTAATTCCCACAACCAGTTGAGGACACTGGAGTGAGTCCCACTCGGGCCATTTTCTAGCTTCCTTCTCAACCTGGGCACTCAATGTTGAGTTCTAGAATTGATTTTGAAGAGTTGGATATGTAACCCCATGGAGCCTGGCCTAAAGCACATTGTTAACTTGCTGGTAGCCAAGCGTTTTCTTTGAGACACTGGCTTGAAGGCTGGGGGGGGAAACAAAACAAAACTCTTCATGATTCCTGATAAGATAAAGAAAGTGTCTGTCATTACTCATTAGGTTTATGGTTTCCTTTCTGGGGTGGCTGTCTCCAGTGGAATAAAATAAGATTTGAACTTGGGGCAAGTGTATGTTTCCTATTTCAAGGAGTTCAGCTCTTAGCATAACCAAAATCTCCTTCCTCCCTCACTGAGTAACTACAGAAGTCTTATGGCATGTGACAGGAGCGGGCGAGGGTTGCTTGGTGGCAGTTGACAAAATGTCATGAGCATGCATTTGCTCACCTCAGTGGTCACTGTCACATGGGATAGCGTGGCAGGGAGGCATGTGATCTCCCAAATAGGCCGGTCAGCTCTGCCTACTCAGCCTCACTCTGAGGAAGCTTCATCCCTTCTCTCTCATTTCCTTTTCCCCCGCCTCAGTCAGGGGCTGGACAAGATCAGAACCTCCCACCACCACCCACTTACCAGGTGCCGGTGAGGCAGTTGGCCAGAAGTGGAGGACTTTGAGGCAGGGGTCCCCCAGTTGGCACATAGTTGAGTTGGGAAAGACAACAGGTGCTCTCCTGGGGTGGGCCAGCTAGCTTACCTCCATACACCCTGCCCAGGTAGATCACCACATCCAAAGTCAAGGAATCATTCACACGCCGTCCCCTAGACTCTGGAAGAGGCTGGTCCAGTCCAGGCAGCAGGAAAACTGGCAATGATCAGGAGCACCCCCCGACTCCCACATCAGGCTTGCCAGCACAGGCAGTGACCTAGTCTCACCTCTGCCATATCCACCAGGTGTAGAAGGAAGGCGGTAGACTCTAAAACCCTCCTCTTTAAAAGAAAAATAGACTCTCTCCTCTAAAATAGGCTGGAAAGTAGCCCTGAGCAGGACTGAGACAATTCTGATGGCTACTTAGCATTTCACTGTCCTCAATAACCCTGGGTGCCCACTTGGCTAAGCTTCTGCGTCCAAACTCCTGCGCAAAGCAGGTTCCCGCCAATGACGGGGCCGGGCTCTTGGTGGTCTGCTGCCCAGAATTGAAATGTTGCCTGTCCAAGGCTGCCATCCTCAGGTTTCCTTTTTCTAATTGATTGATTGGAAAGTCGGGTGTAGACGTGATCGTGTTCCGTGGGCTTGTGTTCCTTGACACCATCAAGCAATTTTTCTTGGTAAGAGAGGATCCCAGGAATGGACTGGTACTCATGCTTCAAGCTTTTATAATGATGTCCTTGCTATTCTGGGCTCTCGGAAGATTAAGTACTTCATTAGTAATCAAGGCCCCGATTGTCAGTGTCCTTCGTGGGTCCCACGGAGAGGTTTGCTGCAGAAGCACCAGGACAGCACCAGGGCAGAGGGCCGGGCTGCTCACCATGCCCAAAAGACTCCCAGGCCCTGATCCCCGGCCCCAAGCCTCGGAGCCTGTTCTGTGCCTCCGTGAGCATCTGGTGCACAGATAAATGTCAATCAGAATCCACTTTCACTCTTTTTCTAATACATAATGGCCAGTATGTCAAACTGTAGGTGCAGAAGGACCCAATTTTATTATACAACATATAAAGCCATTCATATATTATAGACAACTTCAGTTGATCCTTGAACAAATGGGGTAGAGGGGCACCCGCCCTGTGCGGTTGAAAATCCATGTATAACTTTGACTTGCCCAAAACTTAACTACTAATAGCCTACTGTTGACTGGAAGCTTTACTGATAACCTGAAGAGTGGATTAACACATATTGTGTGTTGATTGTGTTATAGTCTGTATTCTTATAATAAAGTAAGCTAAAAATAGAAAATGTTAAGAAAATCATGAGAGAAAATAAATTTATAATACTGTACTATATTTATAGAAAAAAAATCCTCAGGTAAGTGGACACACAGTTCAAACCCATGTTGTTCAAGGGTCAGCTGTATCATATAGATTATACATATTTCTCTCCAGAATGATTCTTTGAACACATGTCACTCCCCTGCTCAAAACCTTCCCTGATGTCCCGTCTCATTTAGAAAAACTTCCAGCATCCATGCCTCCACGCTCAGGCCCCGGGAGCAACCTGGACCTGATTTCCCACCCTCCCCCCTCACCACCCTGCTCCACGTCAGGCCTCCTTGTTCTTCCTCACACACTCCAGGCGTGCCCCACCTCACAGCCTTTGCCCTTACCGTGCCCTTTGCATGGATCACACTTGCCCAGAATCCTCATGCCCGCATCCATTTGGGTTCCCTTTCCAACGTCCACCCCTCAGAGAGCCTTCCCTCACAGCCACCTGGCCTGCACCTCAGTCCCTAGCACACGGTATGTTCATCTCAGGGTAGGATGTAAACTCCCCAAGGGAACCATAAAGGCTGTTCCCACGGTTCCGCCTTGCCTGGCACGGTGCCTGGCTCCTCAGGGCCCTGGCCACAAACCTAGTAACTTAACAAAGACGCACAGGACACCATAACTGACACCAACCTGCAGCTTTACAAATATTAACATCCTTAACAACCACCCAATGAGGCAGATACGGCTGTTATCCGTGTGTTCTACACAGAGAAACTGACGCACAGAGAGGTTAAGTCATTTACCCGAGGTCATACAGCCGTGTCCGAATTTGAACCCCAGCATCTGCCCTAGAGTCTGTATTCTTCACCACTGCCCCGTTGATGCCTGTGTTGGGGGCTGAGTGAAGGTGTGAATGAGCAGCAGGTTCCTTCATGCACAACAACTCGTACACAGGACAGGAAGTTACCACGAGACCCAGCTTTGTTATATAGCTTCTAAAGTGTGTGCCTGTCAACTGTATAACGCTTTTTATAGAAATTCACTGAAGAAGCCAGGAAAGGAAATGTACAAAATCATTCTAGTGATCACCTCTAGGTGGTGGGATTTGCAGGTGATGTATAATTTCCCCACTATGCCTATCTGTATTTTCCAAGTTTTCTGCCCGGGCTAATAATAGAATGATAAAATTAAAGTGATTGCCTTTCCAAAGAATGTTGTGATGAAGGGGCCAGCAGCTGTGCGTCCTGTCTAGGAACGACTTGGGGCAGGGGAATCGAGGCATCAAGGCAGGCCACCCCTGTTGCTGCTAACAGAGGTCTTCTCCCTCTGACCATCCAGGACATCATCGAGGGGGGCAACCTGCGCATCCCACTCCAGGAACTGCACCAGATGATCCTGACTCCTATCAAGGCCTACAGCTCCCCGAGCACCACCCCCGAGGCTCGCCGCCGGGAGCCCCAGGCTCCGCACCCGCCCTCACTGATGGGCCCTGAGGGCCAGAGCCCCGACTGCAAAGACAGTGCCTCGGCCGCCGGGGCCACAGCCACCACCTCGGCTGGGGCCAGCGGCGGGCTGCAGCCACACCAGCTGAGTAGCTGTGATGGGGAGCTGGCCGTCGCCCCCCTGCCGGAGGGGGATCTCCCCGGGCAGTTCACACGTGTCATGGGGAAAGGTAGAGCCTGATTCTCACACCTCCCCCCTTTTCTTCGCTCACCACCACTAACCAGAGCTCCGGGTTCCTGAGGAGCTTCCCCTGAGTGCTGGATAAACCTGTCTGGGTAGATGCCATTAGCCCATTTACAGATGAGGAGAGTGAGGCTCAGAAGTCACCTGAACTCCGATCCCTCTAATCCCCAAAGGCCTCCTCCTTAACCCTGTCCCCTTTCTCTCCCACTCCCTCAGACCAGGGCTTGCTGGGCCCTCCTAGTAGAGTGAGTGCTCGGTGGGCTTCGGGCCTGTGGGCGGAAGTCGGCCCTTACTGCAGACAGCGCCTGGAAGGCACCATGGCCGGGCCGAGTGCCTGTCTGGAGGGCAGGATAGAATTCTCATGTGGTCCTTTAGGTGAGAGCACTCTTTCCACCTGGACTGCCCTGTGTCTCCCCCATGAGTGGCACAGTGATTACGTGATTATCCTTGAAAAGTCCAATGCTAGAATAATTTGTGCTCGAATGGAGTGTTTCACAAGAAAGTGTGATTGTGTTAAAAAATGCAGTGAATGCCCGTACTTTTCCTTTGGGAAGGAGAAACATTTTTTTTTTTTTATCATCCAATCATTTTAAAGAACCAAGTTTTTACCAAAAGAAATGGACACCTGAGTCTTACAGGTGCAGTGAGAAATGCCCTGTGTGTACACGTCCTAAAAAAGACTTCCATCCATAGAAATCTGGCTCAGAGGAGATGACTTGTAACATCCCTTTGAGCAGAGATGCCAGTAGCTTGATGGCCAGGGTGGGTCCTTGGTCTCCCCCCACTCACCTCTGAGCCCTCTCCACCCCCTGACCTCCCACCCCTGAGTGGGCTCTTAGCTGTGTGGGATTACAACGGATGACCCTGTGGGAGTGCATGTCTGAGTGTGATCCATGATGGGCTCAGTCCTCAGGAGACCCAAGCTCCTCTGGCATGGCTTCTTTTTAAACTTTAGCTACTTTCAAACAAATTATAAAATCAATTCATGCTCAACATAAAAAATCAAAACTAAACAAAATGATGGAAGTAAAAAATAACCTGTCCGCCAAGCACCACCATCTTCCTCCCCACAGGTGACCTCTCTAAACAGGTTTGGACTGTCCCTTCAGAAACTTCCTAATAGTCATATACAAGCACATGAGTATCCTTTTTACACACAAACAGGTGTTGTTTACATGTTTTTCTGCAGCTTGTTTTTTCTACATTGTATACTTTTAATATTTCTATCAATACAATATCACTACCCAATTTCTTTTTTCAAGGTTGCATGCCATTCCACTGTATGCTTAAAGCATAATTCGACAGGGCCCCAGTGAATTGACATGGAGGTGTTTTTCGAGCTTTTGTCAATACAAACAATGCTATACTGGGAGTCTCTGTGCAAAGAGAGAGTATAAATGGAATTCTGCAACAGACTGGTTAATGCAGGATTAGGGGGAGAAAGGAATCGTGATGCCCAGGTTTCAAGCATGGTCTACTTGAGTGCAAGGCATTTTCTCTTCTAATTGACATCTTCTGTCCAACCACCTCCACCATGGCCTTCTAAACACCCCCATCAAGATCAGAGCATCAGAGCCTCCAGGACGAGAGAAGCATGGGCCATGCTAGCGTGGCCGTGGGAAGGCCAGTGGGTGTGTGTGCTCTGCCCGCAGACTGATCCTGCTTTGTCTTTATTACTTCAGTTACTGGAGTGTGTGGGTGGACCTACGTGTGTATAAGTGTGTTATCACTTTGAGAAAATAACCTCCAGTGACTGAGTAGCAGGCTTCCTGCTCATGTGCGTGCCCACACACCTCATGTCCTAAAAGATGTTCCAGAGCCTCATGCCTCCAAACGAGGTGCACAGTTCATTCATTAAATTATGGAGACTGCCCTCTGATAACATTGATGGTCTTTGATGCCTTTGAACTCCCTTCTCAAAAGGAGCCTATTTCAGAGATAGGGCTCAGGACATGGCCGCATTCTTCTTCTCCTAGAGTGTCTGTCTCGGGCTGGATTGCAGAAGGCTTAATATAGAATGGTATGCCTGGAATTAACTGAAGGGGCTTCTCGAGGCGAGGGCTCCCGTGGTGACCAAGCCTTTGACTTCAGTGGAATGAGGAGTCTCCTGGCCTTTTTTGTGAACCTTACGTAAAGGCACAGGCACACGTATCTCAAAATATTGGTCCTGAAAGGAAACCAGGGGCAGATCTCAGAGGTTAGAATGGGTATACATGTTTCTAATTCATCTTTTCTTTCTTTCTTTTTTTTTTTTTTCAATTCACAGTGTGCACACAGCTCTTGGTCTCCAGACCTGATGAGGAAAATATAAGTTCCTATTTACAGCTCATAGACAAGTGTCTAATTCATGAGGTGAGTAGTAATGGGTTTCACAAAACTGTTTTTCTCATTGCTTAGAAATGGTTCTCAGAGTTTACATGATGTGATCATTTGGGTCTCCAACAACTTGTTTTTGAAGAGTAGACAGGCATTAATAATAGCTCAGGCAGAACTCAGCTATGATGGCATCAAACCTAAGCACAGCCTGTAATACTTTGGTGTCTAGAGAATCATCGAGACTGAGCTCTAATGTGAGGGTCAATGCCTGAGAGAAACTTCTGGCTCTAGAAGAATCTGAGTGACCAAGCCTGAGCTGGTGAATGTCCAGCCCTGCCACCTTGCCTTGGCAGGTTTTCGAGTCTTTATAAAATTTTCTGTAAACATTTTGCCTTTTGGCTCAGGGAAACTTGAGGGAGGGTTGGAGAGTGTGCAAAAGAAGTAAGTGTTTGTGTTCCATGTGGTTTGATTTGTGATTTTTATAGGAATTATGTTGAGCCACATATCCTTTTGAAGAAGGACTGAGGCAGGCTGGAGCTGTGCCCCATTAGACTCCGTGTGAGCACGGTCTCCCTGACGGAGCGGGGCAGGTCCTGGGTGCAGCTGGCTGGGGCAGCCACCTGCCCTGAGGTGCATGGGAGGACAGAAGGTTGTGCCTCAGACCCAAGACCCCAGTGGCTTCTTGGGAGCACCCCTTCCGAAGAGTTACAGAGACAAGAGTCACAGTGTAGGCTTTAAAGAAGCTTAACAATGCAGAAGTCATTTTGTGGGATTTTAAAGCTAGACTAAGATGGTAAAGGCCCCCAAGTCTGCTCACCTTTGCTGGGTTGGCCTCCAGAGTGCCAGAAGGGCAGTGGGCCCCAGTGAAGGGAGACACCCAGCGCAGAGGTCTGGCCCCCTCACCCACCACCCCACTCACGCTGTCCCCACCCGCCAGTTGCCACACAGGCACATCTGTCCAAGGCCAGTTCACTGGGCCCTCCACCCTTCCATGGTCTGACTACCCACCGCTCACAAGCATGGTCTCCTTCTGGGTTTCCTTCCCAGTCACTGCCCCACAATCCCCTAAACTCTCCTTTTTGCTGTTCCCTCTCAGCAGTGCAAATTCTCGTGTGTCCCTCTCCCCAACCCCCAACTCACCCTTCGCTGTTTTCAATCCTGACACTGCACGTGTTTCAGCCAGCGAAAAGCACCAGGAAGAAGAGAAGGCAAGGACACATTAAAGAATTTTAGAACTCGTTCATTCCATGGATCTTTATTAAGCGTCTAGGCCCTGTCCCTGGCTAGGTAGCTTATGGTGTGAGGGCGGTGGGGAAGACTAAAGGAAACCAGGTGATCACACACGTGAGGATAAGGCTGTGCTGGCAGCCCACGGAGCCCAGATGAGGAGCAAGGCCACCAAACCCAGAACCGGAAATGGCTTTTCCCTAGAGGAACTGCCTCCCAAGCTGGGCCCAAAAGGCAAGCTGGAGTCTTGGTGGTGTGCTCGCTTCGGCAGCACATATACTAAAATTGGAGTCTTGGTGGTAAAGAACTCACTGCATAAGGGGGTGGGAGTGCTCCAGGCAGAGAGAACAGTGTTTGGAGGGCTCTGTGTCCGATTGCAGTAGAGGGGCCTCTGGCTGATGAGAGTCCTAGGCAGAAAGGGGCTCATGCCATGTCTGCTTGACTAAATTCATGTCAGGAAGAAGGGGCCTGCACTCTGCCTTGGAAGGGAAAATGTTGTGCAAGACCTTTTATTATTATTTTAGTTCAAGAAAGAGGAAATGTGTCTGACTAATTTTCCACAGGCTCAGGTTATTCTATGTGGGCAGCAGACACCCTCTCTGTGAGGCTCCATTTAGGCACAGCAGTCTCTATCCTGGCTGAATTTCACCTGGGCTCCATGAAACAGGACTCCCTTTCACAACCCAAATATGCCATTCCTTAGCTGACTGGATGGCAGGGGGTTGACCAAACCTAGACACCTTCCTTCCTCCCCAGGGACAAAGGGACCAACTCCCTAGAGTAACAGAAGGGGGGACAGGAAAGTTCTGGATTTCATCTCCTGGATTATAATCCCTGGCATCTTGCCTCCTCGCCATCTTAAGGAGGCTCTGTGGAGATGAGCTCTTGCCCCTTTATGAGCCCTTTAATCCAGCCATGAAGGCTGTAGGGTGCATCCTAGCCATTTTCCTCCAGACAGACTCATTGGATTGGCCCTGACAGGGACAGAGGACTCAGAATAGGCTGACTGGCTGTGTCAGTCTGTAGTATGGAAGCTTCCTTCCCCTCCAGTCCCTGAGAAAGCTGCTACCAGCCCAACCCAGAGCTGCCAGTGGAATGGCTGACATGAGGGGTCAGCCAATCCCAGCTGGTAGCAGAGCTTCCACAGTGGAGGGCTACTTTGCAGATACACACAGAGACTAGCTTTTGGAAATCCCTCATTGCCAGCCATGACCTAGGGCCTCTCCAGGCCTCCCAGCCGCAGCCTCCAGGACTGAGAAGTGGCCACCACACTCACTCAGCATGGCTAAGGGGCTTAATCCTATCTGCAGCCTGGGACGAAATGAGCCTGCTGCCCAGTATTGAGTGAATGAGCTCACTTCTCTGGGTGGTGGTGGGGTATAAACACTTCCATCTTCTTGGATGTTCTTGGCCATACGGGAGATGTCATGTATGAACTGGTGTCCTTTGGAAGCACTTTGAATGAATGTCTATAAAGTGAGCCATTTCCTCTTTTGTCACTTGGAAACTCAGGCCAGCTGTCCTTCAGGCTGGCTCCAGACGAGCTTGATATTGTAGTTTTGAGTCATTTGTTGGGGCTAAAGGTGATTGTTGGAATGCCAAATGTGACAAACACTCATATACTACCACCAAAGGGCTGGTCTGTGCGACCACAAAAACCTGGGTTGAGATATGAGCCGCAGTTATTGAACCGTTACTAAGAGCCAGGCATGTCCTAAGTATTCTCGTGCATTTCATGTGTTATCTCATTTAACCCTTACGACATCTCTTGGAGGAAGATAATAGTCTCCCTTTAGAAGGTTTTTAGAAGGAACTGAGTGTCAGGTAAAGGAACTTGCATAAGGATGTGAAGGGATTCAAGCCCTGCCCATATCCATCCAGAGCCTCCGACCAACTGGGCTAGACTCTCCTCCCCAAGTCATCTAGATCAGTGCCCCTGTATCCTGTGTTCTCACTCAGACTTTGGCAGAAGCAGCCAGTCAAAAGCAGACTCTATCTGTCCCTTTCTTTATTCATCCAGCAGAAATGCTTGCCTTTCAGTCTTTCAGAGGCATTCGTGTATAATTGGACACTCACCAAGCATTGCCAACAAATGAGAAGGGACCACAAAGTAGAACCATGTCCTCACCTTGTAACCATGAGACCACCCCACCATGTACCTTGTGCATTGTCTGTACCTCTTTAAGGAGGCATGGAGTCCCTTGGTTGGGCAGTCCTCCTTGATGAATATCCTTAAAGGCGTCTGGCTAAGGTCATCTAGGAGGAAGGGGTTTGCAAGTCAGTAATTTTTTCACAATATAACTAACATCTTTTTGCTTTTGTTCACATAGCTCTCCTGTGTTTAGGTCCTTAAAGATTAAATGTCATTGGGAGAAAATTAAACTGTCATGTTTTCTCTGTTTAAGGAATCTGTTTCCTTTATGGGAAAGAGCCATATAGTCTGTTACTCTAAGTAATAGTTTATTGCTACTTAAAGGATTTCATGTCTTATTGACAAAACTATATGGGTATGTTATCTCCATCACTGTTACTGCTGATCAGTCAAATCTGCGGGCCCTCCCACAGCTTGTGGACCTTGGTTTTAGGCACCTGATAGGGCATTCCTATATTGCATGGAGGGTCCTCAAACCATCTAGAACGCCACATGTCCATGTTCCATTTGCAACGGAATTATAGGGCACTTGCTGCAAACATCCTCTAGACTCCTGTCCAGATGTATTAAAAGGGACCTGGGAATCTGCATTTAATAGTCTTCTTGAGGGATTCTGTATCACAGATTTGAGCATCTCTGCCTTGGGGACTCATAACCCCTGTAAAGTCCTTCCCCGGGCTTCCGTGTACACGAAAGAACATGTGATGTAGATTACAGTGTGTTACGAAGCAGGCAAAACACCCCTCAATGCCAATTTTACTGAAAAAGATTTGAAAAGGTATCAGATCTACTTGTTTTCCTAAACTTTAGGCAAAGTTTAGGTCCGGATTGGTGCACTGGGGTTTTTGTAGGGAACGGGGCCCCTTAACTGGAGATTTCTCAGCAAAGCCCCATGCCCTACAGAAAACCCAGGGTACCAATCCTGACCTATAGTATAGTATAGTGTAGTGTAGTATAGCAGAGACTATACTCCATTTTTTGAAAGCCTGCAGACCACTCCAGGGTGACCACGTGCCATCAAGCAGATTGATTTTTGGAGTGGTTTAGCATTTCCATTGATTACGAAAATGCAGGGGGGCCTGCAAAAGCCAGAATATTCAACGATCCATTTTTGCAATTCATTCCTGGTTAATCTAGAGAGTCCAGAGTAGAGTCAGGAAGAAGGGGAAGGTGAGTACGGATCTGCCAGAAATGCAACCAAAAACCAGCGTTGTCAAAAGCTTAATGCACGTACTTTCCCAGGCACCTCCAATGTCAAAGAACTTCAATTGTCGGTACAGGTGGCTCCCAAGTGAAACTGACTGCTGTTTGGACCAGGTGGGAAGCAGGTGAAGAAAAGGCAGCTGCAGAGACTCTGATGTCCGCCCCCCCCCCCCCCATTAACTGCATGTTCCTCCCTCTAATGCCAGGCTGCGCCACCCATTAAAAAGTCCTGTTTGTTTTTGCAGGCATTTACAGAGACTCAGAAAAAAAGATTGTTGTCATGGAAACAGCAGGTGCAGAAGCTCTTTCGGTCTTTCCCTCGGAAAACCCTTCTAGACATATCAGGATATCGACAGCAAAGAAAGTATGTTGGGATTTCATTCTTCTTAATGCACGGTGGTTCCCTGGTGCACCGCGGCCTGCCTGGGTTCCTGGGCAGGACTGTGGCGGGGCACCATTCCTTGTCCACAAGGATGCCCTGTGGGGAGTTCCAGATCACACTCCTTAAACAGATGGAGTCAGGAAAACGCTATAGAGAGAAAACGTTCCCAGAAAAAGAACTGCACATGATCTTTTGTAACGCATTTTACATGATCAAAATGATGGCATTAGTCCAGATGGGCATCAAGGGGAGATGGGTATGATTGAAAGAATGCCCGCAAAACACTTCGTGGTTTGTCCACAAAAGGGGGCCCTGAAGGGACAAAAATGGGTTGTTCTAGCAGCACCTTACGAGGTAGTGTCATTTCTTTCTCCCTTCTCGCTGCAGACTAGCTAATTATAGTCGGTGGCAGGGTGAAGAGCCCAGTGCTGGTCTATTTTGGTCTGAGCTGCAATCTCAGAGTGGAGCAGCACCATTCTTGAGTTTTCATAGTACTTCAGCTTCTTGGATGCGGTTAAAAATAAGCCTCGTTGTACTTTAGAACCCATTACTTTAATCTGGTTTTAAATGGAGGAATCCAATTGCATATTAAAGGTGAATTACAGCGACAATCCAGGGGAGGAATTTAGGGGGGCTGTGGGGTGAAGCCTTCAGCAGTGACAGGCAGTTGGGGGGTGACAAAAGAATGATGGTACAAACACCATGAAAAATCAACTTTCCGTTTTACATTTTTAAACATGAGCAGATAAATAATTTTTTCACCTGCACCTGGGAAGTTCTGAATTCACTTCTCAATGCACATATAGAAGCTCTGTGTTGTTAACAATTTTAGCATTTATTTGCAGGAGTGTGCCTTAAAACACCACTGTTTTATATCATTTGAGGGAGATAAGGATAGTTGGGATTTATGAAAAGTTTTCATTAAAGATTAATGGAAAATTTGAAGTGTTATCACCTTCCAGCATATATAATACTGTTATTTATTAAACAAACATTTAGCACTTCCTGTGTGCCAAGTGGTATCCAAGTATTTTAGGAATATTAATACATTTAATCCTTGCAACAACCATATGAGGTAGAGTTGCTATTATTAACTCCAATTTACAGAGGAGTTGGTAGGCAGTGGGTATCCAGGATTTGGACCAGGCGGGCCAGCACCAGCTGCAGAGTCAGTGATCTTAATGCACTACACATGCCAGGCAGCTCTCATGGTCTCCAGCTGATGCACAGAAAACACAATCAGGCAGAGCGGCACTCTGTACGACAGCTCCCTGGCTCCACGCTCTCTGGGGTTGCCTTCCCTGGGGAGATGGGCTGGACCATCTGTGCACCCTGAGGATCCCGGGGGCCCAGGTGAAAGGCAAGGCAGGTTCATAGGCCTCCTGCCCTAGGGACTGCCCTCTTCCCAGGCTCACTCTCTCTTCTTGTAAGGGCAGCCATACATCTCTCAAGTGAGAGGACGAGGTTCCAGACCCCTCTTGCAACACCAGGACCTCAGGAAGCACATTCGAAGAGGAAGAAGGAATTTAGAGGATAAAGAGAAAGAACTTTTAAGCTCTTTGCTTCTCCCAGAAGTGTCATCCCCTGCCTCTGTCGGCTCTGCTTTGTCCTTGGTCCATATCAGAGTCCCCATTAAACTTGACCTCTCTAGAGTGTTATTAACTAACGTGTGTATTGGGCTACCCAAGGCTTGCCATATTGGAATCTTGATGGACCTGTTTTTATTGATTAGATAAGAATGAATTCAATCTTCAGTTGTGGATGTTCAACTGGAAGTTGCTAAACTCTAGGAAAATCATTTGTTCTCCTAAGTATTACCTCTGGGACCTTTTTATGCTATTAATTTGCTTTGAAGGCTTGTTTCTCCCATAATGCAAAGGTAACTGCAGCCCAGCCCCTGCTTGAATTATCACAAATACCAAATTAATTGGTTCTTATTAATCAGCCTCTTCGCGCACTTCAAGGTAATGAAATCAGTTGGCTAGATTTAGGAAATCAGAGAAAGATACAGATGGGCAGAGCAAAAGAATGAGAAATGAAAACTTACTAGTGTCACTTTGTTCTCTCCCCAGAAAGAATGATTATGTCATTAAGCCTAGTGGTCTTAAGTAACCCTCAACAACTCCGGCTTTGTAATAACCAACTAAGGATGTCACAGTAGGGTCCCGCAGTCATTAGAAAGATGGCCTAGCCAAATTCTACCCATCTATCCTGACCCCAAAATGTTCTGGGCTCTACCTGCCACACACAGCCCAATTCATGCGTCCTAACTGTAGGAGTCCCTAGAGTTCTGTTTCTTTAGTGACTAAGTGTCCCATAGCAGAATCCTCTGCCCACATGATATCAGCTCAAGAATATAATCTTGCCTTCCTGGAAGCACAAATCATTTTAGCATCACTCATTGACTACTGTATTTTGCATATGAAACAACTTTTAAAAAATCCAACCAAAAAGGAAAATTAGCAAAAAAGCGATCTGCACTAAATAAGGAAAAGTCTTAGAATACTGAATCATCTGCCAGGTGGCCAATATTCCAACTTCAAAAACCAAAGGACAAGTTTTCATAGCTTAAAAAAAACACCAACCACTTGATCCTTGTTTCCACCTGTCATGGATCTCAGACTGTCTGTCCTTCCTCCAAAAGAGGTCTCCTAGATCATATGAAATTACTTTTTACCCCCTCCTGGCCCAAATTTCTTCTTTCAAACCAAAAAAATTTAATGTTCATAGAAAGAAGAAGGTGGGGGGAGAAAGGATGAGCTACAGACCTAGAGCCCATTAGTGTCCTTCTCACCACATGTTGATGAGTCCCTGACAGGAATCAGGAACCCTTTCCTTGGCCAAAAAAACCTAGAAGTGGAAAGACACAGGCCCAGAAATCCGTTGCAGCCGCCTCACCTGTGCAATTCTCTTCCCCACCCCCTTTCCCCCTAGGAAATGTAGGCATTCTGGGGAGAAGAGAAGCATTTTCTGAGATCACCTAATGGCTTAGACCCCCGCCACACACACACAATTCTCTTTCTCAGGAAGTGACTATTTTGCAGTACACCCTCCCCCAACCCCCATCATCTTCAACTGGTTAAACGACGTCAGCCCGGTCTGCTGGAGTCCCCGCTCGGGCTTGGTACGGACCTCCCCTGTGTGGCGGGGAAAGCAAGTCTGTTCCATCTTGTGGCCGTTGGAGGTAAAGCATTTCAAGTTAAACATCAGTGAATGACTAAAGCTGACTCTTCTTGGAAGGAATGTGCTGGTTCCTGAAACCCTACTAGCTGCTGTGTACCGTCCCGGAACCTGAAGCATGTTGGAGGAGGAGGAGTTCTTGAGCGCTGAGGTCACTGGAGAAGTGGGAGCACAGTGTCCCAATGCGATGCCAAGGGTCCCTGGCGGCCTCCCTGGGGCCATGTGGGGAAGCACGCGACCTCCCCGTCTCTCTGCAGCAGGGACGGCCTGTGGAGTGGGGAGCTGTCGGTGTCCTAGGTCCAGAGCCCTTGCAAACATCATCATCTCCGTTCTCCTTCCCTACTCTCAAGCTGGAGTCAGAGCCCCAGACACGGGGTCAGCGCTTCCACAGGGAGAAGCATCCTGGTGGCAGAGGCCCGTTCGTTCGTTGGTTCATTCAGCCTGCATTCACTGTGCCGGGAGCTGCCGCAGGCATGGGACGTGCAGGACCGCTGGTTACGTAAAGACGCCATCTCTTCTCTCCTGGAGCCTCCATCCTAGCGGGGCTCACAGGCTACTCTCGCCACGTGGGCAGACATCAGAAACAGACCGTGGTGTGACAGAAGGCGCACTGGGCCTGGCTCTGCTGCCCTTGTGCTGTGTGCCTTCGCGACGGGCACGTGAGTGCTCACATGGGAGACCGCTGGGGGCACCCCGGTCAGCCTCCTAGGCTCGTAGTTCAGCACCATCGCCGGCTGCCCGTGTGACCTTTGCAACATTGTGAAGCTCTCTGTGTTCGTCCTCCAGCTGTAAAAGGGGGTAGAGCGCCTACTTCATGGGGTTGTCGTGAGGACTGAAGAACCAGTGTCAAAGTCCCGGCGTGGTGCATGTGATAGTGCCTCTCAGATGTCTCTTAGCTGTCATTTTAATCCTAGCCCTTTCCTGACACACAACTACCCGGTGCCCCTAGAGAGACCCCATAACCGGCAAAACGTAAGCAGACTCCAGGCAGGCAGCCCGCTGGCGGCCTGGGGTGTGGGAAGAGCTGAGGGTCACTGACAGTCTCTCGCTTCTCTGTCCCCTCTCACAGCCGTGGCTTTGGGCAGTCCAACTCCCTCCCGACAGCCGGCTCTGTGGGCGGCGGTATGGGCCGACGGAACCCACGCCAGTACCAGATCCCCTCCCGGAACGTCCCTTCCGCCCGCCTGGGGCTCTTGGGCACCAGCGGATTTGTCAGCTCCACCCAGCGCAACACCACAGCCAACCCCACCATCATGAAACAAGGAAGACAGGTGTGTTCTGTGCCTGCGGGGGAGGGTGGGCTGCCAAGCTCAGGGCCAGAGGCTTCGGGACCTATCCCTGCATGACCCCAAGGTGAGCCAGAAGGCCAAGGAGGGCTGCACGAAGATACAGGTGTCCCTGTGCTCAGAGGTAACCAGTTGTTTGCACTCTTTCTCTAGGAGACAGCACAATGCCATGGCTGCACCTGGCTTCGTGGGGATTTACTTAGGATGCCCTCTGGCCACTTTGACCTTTAACCTTGGGGGCCCTGCACCTGGGAGCCTGTAGGAGGAAATGCAAGACCTTTTATTTGCCTTGCTCCTTGACCTGCCCCTGCAGACCTCACCACCTCCCAGATCTGGGTTCCAGAGGAGCTTTAGCATCCAAGGAGCTTTCTTAGCCTTTTTATTCACGCCAAAAAGCTCCTTTGTCACAGTCCGCAGCTATGGTGGAGAATCCAAAGAGGAGCCTGAGAGAGGCGATCAGAGAGAGAGCTGGAACATTCTCCTCCTGTTCAAGGCCAGGCTGCCCAGAGGTCTTTACTGTGTGATTTAGAGCTGACCTCTGTCCCAAGGCTCCTCACCCACCAGTCCCATTTCCCTACCCTGCCCAGTGCCTTCCATCTGTGTGCCCAGCTTTGTGGGGTTCTGCAGGTTGGGGCTGGGATTAGAGGGGCACAAGTGGGTCTGGATTGTCATGAGAAACTAAGGGGTGATGGATTGGTTTAAAAACAGGAAAACAGCTCCAGGCAAAATGGGCAGGATTTACTCTCCAGAGCATACACCACAGGGTGTATGAGAAAGCCCCACTTTCTGACCGTTGTGGGAAGCCCCACATCAGTTCAAGAGGAAGTCACCACCAGGACACCCGCATAATAAACACAAGCTAAGTGTGCAGCTCACTGCCAGCTGAAAGATGCTTTTTTTCTCCCCCTCGCTTTGTAGTAAGTTGTAAGAATCTCAAAAAGAAAATCAAATGAGCCCCGAAATAGTTTGTGCTCTTCGTTGCAAACATTTATAGAACTCTTTCCATCTCTGAAAAAAAAAAAAAAAGTGGTAGGAAAAGCAAAGGCAACAAAAGGGATAAAAAGAGTTTGGGAGATGGTGAGGGAGAGAGCTGTCCAGATGAAGCTGGGGCTTAGAGAGGCCTGGGGCTTGGAGGGGGGGTGGTAAAATGAACGGAATCTAAACCCCCTCTCTATAAACATGCATATGGGTAGCACAAGCCTGCAGCCCTTTTCCAGAAGTTAGCAAAGAGTTTCTCAGGGCTATCTGCCTCTTGAATTCTGGCTGGCGGCCCTGCTCCGCACCCCCTCCCCTGGCCCCAGGGTGTCTGCACTGATGGTCCCCCCCTTTGCATTTCTCACTAGAACCTCTGGTTTGCCAACCCTGGGGGCAGCAACAGCATGCCAAGCCGCACCCACAGCTCAGTCCAAAGGACCCGCTCGCTGCCCGTGCACACTTCTCCACAGAATATGCTGATGTTCCAGCAGCCAGGTAGGGCCCTGCACTTGATCTCTCCCTCTCTCCGCCCCCGGACACAGAAGGGAGGCCAGGACGCCAAAATAGATGCCCCTGTGAACCCAGCCGGAAAGTGCTTAGCCTCGACTGTCACCACGCATTCTTTTGAGCTTATAGAAGCCTTTCCTTTTTTAAACTGCCTTGCCAGCATGAATAGCGGCTCGTTGGCTGGGAGCCAGCACATGGAGCCCCAGAGTCAGTTGCAATCTGACGGGGATATTTTTGATACTAGTCATATTTCTAGATTGATTAAACCAGAGAGATCACTGGAGGGTATTTGGGGGAGTTGGGAGGGGTTCCAAGTGCAGTGTGCGTGTGTGTGTCTGTGTGTACTTTGGGTGTATGTGGGGGATGTGCAGAAAGTGAAACAGAGAAAAAGAAAACTTTGACGGTGTTGACGCTAAGAGACTTACCCCTGGTTTGGGAGCACCTTGCAAACATGACTTTTTGGAGTGGCCATCTTCCCCTTACTTGGTTAAACAGCAATGCGGTGCACTTCAAGTCAGCTGCGCCTCTCACTGTGCCTCCTAAAACAGAGTCACCCAAATGATACACAGACAACAATCGCTTGCACACTTTGTCTATGCAGACAGGGACCTCGTAAGAGTCCATGAGTAATATAGAGCCATGCAAACAATGACTACATCTAGCTTGATGACCTTCTAAGTGGGAAAACCAGACAGGTTACAGGTGTTGTACCTGTAGGAAAATACCCACCCTAGGCAAGAGACATGTTCTATACAACAAGTCTTACAGGAGTTTAAGGAGAGGAAATGTCACTGTGCCCTCGGTGGGCAAGAAACCTTCTTGGAATTGGAGCAGAGCTTCAGCGGACAGAGAGTGAAGGAGTGGAAAGAGGAGGGTGGAGCTTCAGGCAGAAGGAGACAAGGGAGCAAGACCGCAATCATACCACATACCTCAGTGAGTTCCAGAAGCCATGGCTGAGCCAAAGGGTCAGGCTGAAGTAGCATAGAGTAGACCATGGGAGCTGGAAAGATCGAGGCTGATGATGGGGGCTCTGAACCCAAGGCCGAGGAACTCAGACCCCAGCCACTCTCAGTGGGGAATGTATGGAAGATTTTGAGTAGGAGTGTGCCTGGAGGAGTGAGAGAAAGGCAGGATGAAGATGGGGAGACACCAAGGAGGAATGGGGAGGTGAGGAGTCACCACAAGGTAAGGTGTGTCAGGAAAGGAAGAGATGGTCCAGATATTTGTTTAAACTTGCTTCTAGACTTCTCAAACTGTTCCTATTTGTGCACGTTTGTTTGAAAGCTCCTTTTCTCTGTTTTGATACTTGTAGCTTCCTGGGAAGAAATAATTGATAAAATTTGGGGGTTGTGAAGGTGTTCTTCCTGGGTCATGTAGTCCCAGCCTCTGTTTTCATGCAGAATTATGTATAATCCACTCTCAGTAAAAGCTAACCTAGATGAGATTTGAAGACATCCTGGACACGAGTAGACCTTTCACCTTGAACGTATCCTTCATCCCTGACCTCAGCCCTGGGACTGCAGCCCAGCCACCCTGAAGCCTCACGGGAGCCCTAGCATAGCTGACCACTCTCCTCCTCCTTCAATCCCTATACACTTGTGGCCTCCTTGCTCCTCTCTAACCTCTTGTCTCTTCCTTTGGCTTCTTCCAGGTCCTCAGTCCTCTGTTCTCACTATACTTTCCCCACATTCTCCTGTCTTAATTGGGAAGACCAGGCCCACCAGGAAGAGTGGGGCCATCCCTAGGAGGACTCTTTGAGTCTGTAGATACAGATCCTCCATCTGCACCTTTGTTGCTTGCTCATGCTCAGGGCAACTATGACCCTAAGATCGTTTCCACCCTTTTCCCAGAGTGTTCCCTCTTGTTCCCACTATTAAACAATCAAATAATACAAAAGGGCTTTTAAGGAAAAGTGACTGTCCCCTTCCCCTCCCCCTCCCAGCCCACAGTCTCATCTCCCAGAGACAGCCACTTATAACGATTTTCAGTTTTCCTGGTAGTTAACCCAAAAGTCTCTAAATGATGTTCTTTGTATACTGGACTTAGAACTCCAGAACCCTTGGGGGTCTTTTTTTGGAAAGGGGGGGTTCAATTAACCTCTAACATAAGCAAATAAACTGGTGGGTACTGGGCAGGAGCCACTCCTAAGCCCTGCCCAGCATACTCAGCCCATGCCTGGACATGGTCATGAAGGGCAAGGCAGGGGTTCCTGGCTGAAGGGAACAGAGGCTGCAGAAAGTCACTGCCATGGGAGGCTCCTTCGTCTCCAAGGTCATCCCTGCCCCTGGCAGATCAGACACTGGTTTTCAAGACCCCAAGTCATGATCAGAACTCTTCCTTCTTCCTGAAGAGGCAGCCTTGTTCACAGGGCAAGCCTGGCTAATTGCCACAGCCAGGCCCAGACGAAGTTTTGTCCTAGACAGACGGGGTCTCTCGGGGATGGGCCTTGCCACTCAGAGCAGCACATCCTTGTTAGCTCAGCAGGGGTCTAGGGGCTGGCGGCTGTGGGGGCAGGACCAAACTATAAGTATCATATCAGGGAGTCAAAATCAGGAAGGCAGTTGAGTGGCTTTCATCTTTACACATGCAATAGTGGTAGTGAACACAAAATAGGGTAGAGATGTGTAACCAACCCTAAATTAGATCCTCAGAAAACTGTGTTACAATACAGCAGAGTGGCTTCTTCTGGACCATTAGATGTCTTCAGAGCATCCACTTTAAACCAGATGGGTACATCTTGAAGACTACAATTCATTTGAAGAAAGTTTGATTCTGTAAACTTAAAATACTTCCATTAAAATGATGGAAAATTTGAAATGTCTCCAAAGAATATCAAAAAGTCCAGGGGCGGGTGCCTGGGTGGCTCAGTTGGTTAAGCGACTGCCTTCGGCTCAGGTCATGATCCTGGAGTCCCAGGATCGAGTCCCGCATCGGGCTCCCTGCTCGGCAGGGAGTCTGCTTCTCCCTCTGACGCTCCTCCCTCTCATGCTCTCTGTCTCTCATTCTCTCTCTCGCAAATAAATAAAAAATTAAAAAAAAAAAAAAAAAGTCCAGGGGCTAGAAAAAAGCCCCCAAGTTGTAGATCAATTGATCAGTCACCTGGCTTGAATTTGCAAGACGATCTCTTCTTTCCTGGATCTACAGGATTTGTGGGACCCTTGGAGGCCATGTCAGGGGTGGTTTTTTAAATTATTCCCACAGGAACAGATTTTAGATATTTCCCAGGACAAACCAGGAGAGACACTAAGTGATTGCTGCGTCTCACTGGCCTCTGGCATGAGTAAGAAACACTAAGCTGGTCCTCCCAGAGCAAGGCGGAGAGGGTCTGATACACTCACCAGTGGAATGACTTGAGCTCAAAACAAGTGTGGTGCCTGGTGTGGTCACGTTCCCCCAAAGGCAGGTGTCTTCCCAACTAGAAAATTAGTTTGGAAATTGCTTGCAGAAGGACTGCCTTATCTTGGAAGCAGATCAGTTCCTGCTGACCCAGGCTCAGCCACCAGTGGGATCCAGTCAGACAGGATCTCAAAACAGCCCTGGTGTAACACTGAGAGGCCACAGAGGCTCCTCACCACCTGGAGGGCCTGACAGGAAAGGGCCATGTATCTGTTCACCATAGCAAACCTCCCCTGTGCACCAGCTCATGACTGTATTTCTTCTACCATCAGAATGCTGCATACCTGGGAGCATAGTGTCCCAAGCTGTTATCATTCATTGCCTCCTTAGTGTGAGTTTCAGATTCCTTCCAGAGAACTGCCTTTCAAAAGAGTGGGGAGAGGGAGAGTACCATCCATACAATGGGTCCGTTAGGGGAATGGAAGGGGCTGCTGTGCAGAGGAAGAGACCAGAACAAGGACCCTCTTAAAGTACCTAATGCACATTTGCTCTCTGCCTTCTGGTGGGCCAAGGCAAACCATCCTGCTCAGGACTGGCAGATAATAGGTAGGGAGGTTGGTGAATGAATCAACTGTATCACAGCTGAGAACCCAGCTGGGCCTGTACTCCCCTGTCTCTGAAAGTCAAATTGAGAGAGACCAACCTAGGTCTAGATGGTACTTGTAGGTCTAGAGACCTAGGTGGTACAATATTGTCTTATACCATATTCTCCTCACTTTTCATGAAATTGTGGGTCCCAGAGGATTCCACAGTACAAACGTCTTCAGGTTTAGGAACAAGGCCACCAGAGAAAAGCTGTGTTCCCACAGCAGACTCAGGGGTACGACTGATTACTCGTGTCCCTCTGTCACTCGCCATGACCGCCATGACCGTCTCTGCAGTTATCAGTATGGCTCTCTTTCCCTGCCCACATTGATTTCTTTTCCTTCTGTTACTACCCTCCCCCGTCCTGCTTGGCTCCCATCTTCCCTGCCTCCCTTTCTTCCTTACACCCCTTACCCAGTCTGGATCCCACTTCTCCATCCTCTGTCCTGTCCTCCTCAGCCTCTTTCCTGATTTCTCTCCTCCCGGCAGCCCCACTTCTCACTTAACTTGAAGCCTTCCTTGTTATTCAACAAGTAGCTTCGGCTGTTATTGGCAAAGTAGAATTCTAGAGGTTTTTCCTAGAATACCCCATTTTTTATTCTAAAGTACTAAAGATGCTGGCCTCCTCACCTCGGCCCCAGGGGCTGGGAGAGAGCTACAGAATTGTGCCATAGGTGCCACACATGTGAGACTCAGCTGGGATGACTGGTTCCTGCCAAGAAAAAGCCACATGCCCCCCCCCCCAGGTGGACCCTACAAAAACACTTCATTAGGAATGGGAAGCTGCCCTCTTCTAGAATCTTCTTGACCCTGTGCCTGAACATGAGGCTCTCTACTTGTGGGACTTCTGAAAAGGCACAGTTAAAAAGATTCAGGTCAGCCTAGACCCTGGGCATCCTAGGACTGAGGACCCTCACTAAATACTGGAATGGTCTGATGGTCAGGGGAAAAATTCCTGGTTCTCAGAGATGTCATCTGGGTTAAGGAAACAGGCCTGCTTCAGGCAATGGCAGAGAAGGCTCAGTCTTTCCTTTTTGCCTTACTGACAACATAAAACTATGTCTACCTGGCCCGTTACAGCTGGGGGCCCAGGCTAAATGCAATGAGCCCTTGCGGTAAGAACTGGCAAGAACTGGCCTGGTGGGTCGTGTGCGCCTGGGTGGCGGGAGCTGCCCAGAGCTGCTTCTCTGGGGTTTGAGAGTTCTGCCCACCCAAGCCACACGTGGCTGAGGGCTTCTAGCCTGAGATGGAAGCTGTTATCCACCCAGCTGGTCTCCCTCTGTCTTGTATGTGTGGGGAGATGCCACGGATCTGTTTTTATCAAATACACAATTAAAAAGTCACACTATTAGGAAACTCTGGAGTGTGAACATATGGGCTTCTCCCAAGACTTAGAATTTTTCGGAGCCACTCTGCGAGTGGTGGGGGTCGTGACACCCTAGCACACCAGAGGGAAGAGCTGAGGGAGAAAAAGCAACCATGCCAACTTTCAACCTAAAAGAGCAGCCACTAAGGTTTGGAGATTCTAGAGCGGAGAGCCCCGCATTTCTCAGCCCCCTTTTTTGAACACGCAGTCCTAGGCTTGGAAAATGGCATTTTGCTGCGTGTTGGCAAGAAACCCTGCAGCTGAAACACTTCTCTCCAAATGTCGAGCATCTTTATTTATCCAAATCTTTCCACAGTGTTTGTTTAAAGGGGAGTGCTAGAGAGTAAACTAAATTTTACAATGAGCATATGGATGGTTATAATTGCTGAGGGTTTTTTTTTTTTTTTTTCATATTTGCTAACTGGCTATATATAAAACTGTGTTTCTATTTTATAGATTTCACACCCTGAAGGCTGCTAATTTTGCATGCATATGATTTTCACATGAATGGATGAAAATACTAAAATACTCTTTCCTCTGGATTGTCTAATTGCCCCGACCCTATTCTGAGAGCAACAATGGGTGGGGGTGGGAGAGACCCTTCCATTCTCCCTGGCTCCTGGCCGCCGGAAAGCCCAATCGTCCTCTGTTCATGAATTGGCACCAGTTGCTTTTCAAACCCATTGACGCTGGAATTTGTGTCAGAAAGAACCCTATCTGCTCCCCAGTGCTTTTCATATTGATCCATTTTGCCCATCTACTCAGAATTTTAAACAACAGAAATGACGTCTGCCTCTGAATTAGCCGATAATGGGGAACACAGATTGCAGAGAAAACCTAAATGTATAGCTCATCAAGGAAAACAAATACTTTGGTTTAGCCATTGGTTTCAACTTCCTATCCCACTAAACCACCAACCCCTAACCTCATTTGTCATCCCGCCCACCAGCCCCAAGTGCCCCCTGGTGGAGATTTAAAGGAGCAAGGAAATGGCCTGAAGCTTGGGCCACAGGATCCTTTCCCCACTTACAGACTGAAGAGCTAAGGCCCAACAAAGAAGAGAAGTTTCCCAGAGTCGCATATGAAGACAGTGGCAATGTTGAGATTCCCAGGCCCTCAGAACATATCCCACTGCTGATTTTTGTCTGCCCCCCAACCCCCATCGTAGGATTTCACAATTCTAAGCTGTCAGAGCTTCCACTTTTTCCTCACTCAATAGACATGTGTGAAGTGTGCCAGCAGACCATGGCTGGGTATTATGGGAGATTCAGAAAGAGATAAAAGCACTGTTGCTGTCTGCAAGGCGCTTCCAAGCCAGTGAAAGACCCTCAAGAGCTTCCCAGGATGAGGGATGGGGGAGGTACTGACAGTGAGGGCCCCAGGAGAAGAGAGGAGGAGGCTCCTTCGGGCTGCTTCCCACTCGGGGGGAGGAGGGACTGGAGCCTGGAGAGATAGGGAGGGTCCAGATGGTAGAGGGGGCTTTGTGGTTAGAACGCACACAGCATGGTCCCAGGCAGTGAGAACCCGCCCAGCAGACATCTCAGACCTTCCAAGTGGCTGGAGGCCGCGAGCACTGACTGGCGCTTATAGTCGCTACAGCATGCAGGAGAGTACCAGCTCTGGAGTCAGACCCCCATGGGTTCTTGTGTTAGCCAGCCAACCTGGCCAGTCACTGTGAGTCCCGCTCAAGAACTGGGCACTTGGCACAGTCGTGGGCTCAGAAGAGGTGCTCACCAATACTGTGGTTTCCGTTTCCTTGTAACAAAGCAGAAAGCGCCAAGCCCGCTTCCAGGCCCAGGGAGCAGCAGAGCCAAGTCCTGCTCCAATGAAGTGAACATGGAACTGGGGGCAGGCAGCAAATAAAGAAATGTGCCAGATGTTGGTGACAGCTGTGGAGAAATATAAAGCAGAGGAAAGGGATAGGGCTGGGAAATTTCTGCTCATCTCTAATGTCCTTTCTAAAGAGACAGTAGAGCCAGAGACGTGAAGGCAGGGAGAGAGAAAGTCATGGAAACATCCAAGGACCACCATTCTGGGCAGAGGGAACAGCAGTGCAAAAACCCTGGAGTAGAAGAGGGCCTGGGATGGAACGAGGGGCGGCGAGAGCTGTACACAGGCAAGGGTTAATAAGGGCCAGATCACGTGCGCCTTGCAGGCCATGGCAGGGGGTTGGCTGCTATTCAGATGGGAAGCCGCTGGAGGGTTCTGAGCAGAGGCTGACAGACTCTGTGACCAGCTATTTTTAGTTACGAGTTTTCTTCCAGCCGCCAATGTTCACAATGGACTCTGTGCGTCTAACAGACTCATAGGTTGGTTGAAACCAGAGTGTAACTTACCTCCGTGAGGATCCTCACAGTCCCGTGGGTCCTCCCGGGGTGGAGCGGGTGGAGCCCCACAGCACCGTGCACACCTTCTCCTTGTTCTCAGAGTCTCTGTCACCAACATAACCCTTTGTCCCTTGCAGAATTCCAGCTTCCTGTGACTGAACCGGACATCAACAACAGGCTGGAGTCCTTGTGCCTCAGTATGACCGAGCACGCCCTGGGAGGTGAGTGGGTCCTCCTGCATTTGACCGCATGCCTGGGAGAACTAGCAGCCATCTGCAGTAGCTCAGGAGGAATGGGAAAGGCACAATGAGAGGGGGGCAGGGGACAGAGCGAGAGAATGGCTTCAGGCTGCTGGGGGATCCCCATCAAGCCGTACCACACCGAGTAGCCCGCGACGCCCTGCTCCTCCTTTTCTGGGAGGTGAGTCAGGGACCTGGAGACCAAGGCTGTCCCTTTTTCCTCACAGCCACCCACCCAGTGCACACTGAGGTCCTACTGCAGCAGCTGTGCCAGCCAAATGCTGGGAGCTGGAGGAGTCAGAAACACAAGACATGGCTTTTAGTGGCAACATCCCCCCCACAGAATTGGATCCTTTCCTTCTCGGCACTAGAGCTCCCAGTCTGGCCCAAGCATATCCCAGCTTGTTCTAAAAATAGAATTTTTGAAACAAAAATCCCTGCTTGTTTTTGTATCTCCCTGTTCCAAATGGCTTCCACGATGCCTGGAGCCCCAAGCAGTCTGAGATGTCCCTCCCAGTGTGACAGGGATGGTCTAGTTTGATGTGCCTATGGGCGGCAGCCCCACAAGGAGCGCCAGAAGCAGCTGGGTGGTCCCACTGTCAGTTTGGTCTGAAGCCCTACATCATCACCAGAGCCCCAGGAGGCCTGCAGTGCCCTCCGGGTACTAACCAAGTGCTTTTCTCCAGCCCGGACTCCGCACCAGCCCTGGGGATGTTTGGCAGGCAGAGGAGAGATGGCCACCCCTTCCTGCCAACCTCCGGGAGGCTCTGAGTCAGAGAGGCCTCCTGTGACCCTTCCCACCAGTCCTCTCCAGGCGGGATGTGCTCACCCACCCTGGAGATGGGCGGTCCGAACACCTAGAGCCAAAATGTGCGCTCTCTGGCCATGGGGGCGAGAAAGGCTGCTGACAGTCGCTCCTCCGGAGAGCTTGGTCCTCCCTACCAGGGACTTTTGGATTTTTAGTCCCTGCAAACACAGTCTTATCCTAACACCAAATATGAGACAAGTAAATGCTCTGCTTGGAGCAGATTGGAAAGCAAGGACTGTACCTACCTGACCTCAGCTGGGCAGGGTTCTCGACAGCCCAAAGGCAGGCTCCACTCAGTACCAGAAGGGAGCTAGCTCAAGGCCTCCCAGGGCTGCTGACTGAAAGGATGGTGGGAAGGCACAGCTCCTAATGGGTTCCAGGAACCCCATCTGCAAACACTGCTCTCTCCCTTGGCCACTCATATCCTAGAAGCTTCACAGCATCATTGGTCCATCCCTGGCACCTCCGTGGGGAGGTGCCACCAGGTCCTCTTCTCCAGCTAACAAAGGAGACTGGGTCGGCACACTGATAGCCCCTGATGAGTAATGGGAAACAACCCAAGGGTCCATCAATAGATGGAAATGGATGAACGAAATGCAGACAGTGGAATATCATGCAGCTTAAAAAGGAATGAAGTACTGATCCATGCTACAACATGGATGAACCTTGAAAACATTACACTAAATGAAAGATGCCAGACACAAAAGGCCACACGGCATACAATTCCACATAGGAATTTATGAAATGTCCAAAATAGGCAAATCTATAGAGACAGGTGGTATAGTTTAGTGGTTGTCAGGGGCCGGAGGGAACTGTTGAGTGGAGAGTGACTGATTGATGGGTACCAGATGAAAATGTTCTGGAATTAGATAGTGGGGATGGCTGCACAACTCTGTGAATATATGAAAACCTCTGAATTGTACGCTTTAAAAGCGTGAAATTTGTGGTATGCAAATTATATCTCAATTTTTTCAAAAAGGGAAGCCTCCCAGACCCTGAGAATTCAGACCAAGCTCAGCCCACTGCGGGCAGCCCAAGCTCCCTCCCACCCAACCATGGCTGGTGGGTGAGGAACTGCCGGGCCTTTGAGAGTCAGCAAGGAGAACTGACCTTCTCCCCCAGGGCTTGATATATCTCAGATAATTGGCATGTTGGAAGCCCTTATCAAACTGCTAAGTGCTAACATTATCATCATTAGTAGCAAGAATGCCAAATGCTCTTTATTAAAGGGAGGTTTTCATCGAAAATGCTTCATTTTTTAGCTCATTCTTCTACTTTTACAGAAAACCTCTCTGAACTGATGGTTTTTTGCTAATGTTTTCATCTTGTTAATCTCCTAAGCCTTTTTATTGCTGTGTTTTTCCTCAATAATGCGCTCTGGTGGGAAGCCTCGTAAGCAGTTTCCAGAGCAGAGAATGCAAATTAAGTTCAGGGTGGCCCAGTTGGGCACAGTGGCGGTGAGCCTCCCACATTAGGACTGCACCCTTCTGCTGGCCCACCTCGTCCAGGTGCTGGGAAGATGACCTTGCTGGGGAGAGAATGCCAATGAATTAAATCATTTTACAGGAGGACAAATAATTAGGGAGAGGAAAGCAAAGTAAAAGAGGTTCCTCTGCCTGTGTCTCAGGACAGGAGGGGAGGGTGGCCAAGTTCCCGGGACACCACATCCTACGACGGTCTTTCTACTGTGGCTGGTCCATGGGCCCCAAGCCTTGGTGGCCCATCCTTTTGCATGGACATCTCTACTTTCAGCGTCCTCCACTAAGTACAACCCTCCTGGTGCCAGTCTAGGCCATTTCTCTCTTTGGCCTTCCCTTTCTGTCTTTTCCTTGCCCTTCCCTTGGCCCCTCCAACAGAACCCATGAGGAAGCCCAGGAGGTGGGTTGCCTCTGCCATCTTGGTTTGTGAATCTTCATTTAAGGCTTTCATCTGGCTCTGTTGGGCCTGCTCCTGATTGGTGGCTCCGGGTATAAAGGAAGACTCAACACCAAGCCTGGCTGCTGTCTTCCTCCTGCACAGGGGTTATATGGGCAGGAACAGCCACGGCTACAAAAGCAAGGCTCCTCCAAGCAGGACAGAGACTGCAGTGAATTCTACCATAAAGAGGAATGCCCAGTCTACTCTCTGATGCTCCAGGATTCATGTTTTCACATGATCCCCTTGCCGTTCCTTCTCACCTTCTTTCCTTATTCCTTCTTGGGACTTAACAGCCTCACTTTTAGCTGATACGGAGACTGTGCAAATTAGAAAAAGACTCCACTTTCTTAAGATGCTGTTCTGCCATTGATTTGATATTTGTCATAGCAACTATAAAACCTATAATGAATACATGTAAATGGTGCTCCCTGGAGTTGTACACATTGCACAACTGTAAATGGTGAATCTGGACTTACCTGTTGGTCATCTCCCTGCAGATGAATACTGTAACCCTTGGAGGATGAGGCATAGGCTTGGAAGTCAGTGAAAATGCAGCTTGGGGTTGGGTTAGTTGAGATTTTCATGTTTCTAGCTCCCCACTTACTCACTGGCATTAATGAGGAGGCCAGTGAGCCCTGGCAAGAGCGTGCTCCACTCCTACAGACAGGGGAGCGACCTCTACACACCCACACGTGTGTATCTATTTACACGCACCCACTGTTACCACCGCAGAGCCACCACCAGAGGCTCAGGTTAACACCGGCAGGAGTCAGAGAAAGATTACTGATTATAAGCTCACCTCTGGGGGCCTCTATGACTAATGGCCTGATTCCCATAAACACTCCCGGGGTCATTTGCTTTTCTTCTTTAAAATCGCTCCAAAAACCATATGGAAATTCATAGACACACACAAGTACAAATAAAATTGGGAAAATCTGAGTAAGATCTGTGAATTGTGTCAACATCAGTTTCTTGGTGGTAATATTATAGTTTTGTAAAATGTTACCACTGGGAGAAACTCAGCAAACCCGGAAACCTGGGACTGTCTCTTATAACTGCATGTGAGCCTACAATGATCTCAGTAAAAATTTCAATTAAACATTTCTCCTTCAAGTCCCTGCTGGCAAGACACCAGACTGGCACCACCCACCAGGAGGCCGGGAGGCCTGTGCAGTGGACTCAGCACTCCTCCATATCACTGAGGTCCTCCAGCTTCCCCTGAACACTCTGCCCCTCCCCTCTCAAACCTGAGTTCCGCCTACTGGATCTAGGTGCTCCTCCTGGTAGACCAGGTTTGTGACATCAAGGCTTAGACCAGGACTTACCTGCTGATGTTTGGATATCAACAAAACCAGGGAGGCATCTGCATCCCTCCCTGGCCTTCATTTACTGGTCACTGAACACAGTCATTTCTACCTCCTACAATGACTCATCATCCATGCTTCTCTCTGCTCACTGGATAAGCCCCTGTCAGACAAGCCCTAGCGTGGGCCATTGTAGGGGCCATCCTGCCACCAGCCTTGTCTTTTTTTAGGTCATCTAACAGCTGCCAGAGAAACCATTCTAAAATCAGATCTAATTACCGCTTAGAATGCCCCAATTACCAAGTCCAAGCTCCTGTTCATAGTACACAAGACCCTTATGGCCTCATTCTGGGGATTCTCCTATAGTCCCATGTGTAAGCATGGCTCCCTTGGCAGTCTGTCTCACTCGTGGCCTCTGTCTCTGACCTGCACGTCCTCCGCTTTATAGCCTGGTCTCACCAACTCTCCATAATGTAGACACCGCCTGCGTTGTGTAGCCTCAACATTCACCCACTTCCACAGGGCCTTTCAGTTCTCAGTGCCCACAGCCTCTAACTGTGGTGTCTACCCCTAACCAGATTCTTGAGACAGAGAAGCTAGATCAGTTTGGGTCAGCCGCATCCCCCTGGTCTGTTCAGCTCAGAGTCACAGCCACCTCATGCCCGAGCTTTCAGCAGGGACTCGGTGAGGGGGAGATGCTGCCAAAGAAAGGGATGTGAGCTAGACAGGTCCACCTGCATGTCCGTTGCAGCAACCCCCTCCCCCCGTTCAGCACATCTCCTGCCACTCCTCCATTCCCCCATCCCTCACCCTAAACCTCGATCCAGCCCCCCAGCCCCACCATTTGATGACCAACATCCCACCTATACATGAGCTGTATGCCCTCCCACACCCTCTTCCTTCCTGCCTCCTCCTCTCTCCTCCTACCAGCGCCATCTTACAAAAGTCATTTCCTCTCTCTGTGAAACCATCCTTGACTTCCAGGGGCAACTTAAATCTTCCTTCCTCCATTTCCTGCTGTGCCCGGTACATACTCCATCGTAGCAATGATCACTCCTGCATCCCTGTGGCTTTACCGATCTGTCTCGACTAGGATGTGTGTACTCACAGGGTGAGGACTAGGTCTCCTGTTGGGGTGCCCGGACTGGTTACAGCTCCTGGAACAATGGCTACTCCGCAGACGCTGAGTGGGTGGGTGTGTGAGTGAATGAGCGGATGAATGGTAAGCGCGGCCTTCAGCTGTCTTCAGAGACCAGGAAGCCCATCGCGCACGGGGTGCGACTCGGTGGCCGTGAAGGGAACGGTTTTGCTCACCTGTGCCCGTCATGTATTCTCTCTCTGCCAGACGGGGTTGACCGGACCTCCACAATCTAGAAGCTGAAGATGAGAGTGACCGCGCTGGCCGTGAAATCGACTGCTGCGGGTCCAGTGTCAGCCATCTTCAGGGTTGCACAGAATCCTCGGAGATACTCTGCAGCCTTTTTTTTCCCCTGGTCCCTCTCCCATTTTGATTTTGTGAGAGCGTAGGTCGTCCTTGTAAACGTATCAGTAGACCGGGGATTGGTCATTTTGTCATTTGTTTCTGTCACGGGATGGCTTGGTGTGCGGGTGGGGAGGGGTCTCTAGGGAAACGTGGGACTGGGGGCGGTGGAGAGGGAATGCAAGTGGCTCCTTGGACGGAGAGAGCGGGAGAAACGAACAAAAAGAGTACCGCCTACCGCCGGGAAAGAGCTGGGAGAGTCTGACGCGGGAGGGAGGCCGAGCCCTGGGCCCCGGCGCCCCTCGCAGCCCGCCTCCGCTGTCAGGCCCCAGGACGCCGTCGTGGGCTAGTGCGACCAAAGCAAGATGGCGGCCCGCCCTCCCTGCCGCCGGGATCGGCTCTCCCTGTGGACCCGGCTTGGGGTCGAGCCGCAGGAGAGGGCTGCACGGCCCCGGCGGCAGAGGGGGAACGTTCCCTCCAACAAAATTTCAGAGAAACTTTGATTTGTGTATTGTTTACATAACAATTTTAAAGGGTACATAACGTGTAAAGAGTTTGGATAGCACTTCTCTTCATACTATGGTTTTTGTACAGGATTTGTTGATACGGATTCATTTCTTTCCTCTATTTTTGTAATAGCAGCAGGGTTGTCTCTTACAATGGCTGCCGAGCCGTGCCTGCGGGGAAGGCGGACGCGTCTCGTAGGCCGAGGCGTCGTCCATCTTGCGGCCGCGCCTGCGCGGCGCGTGCAGGTGGGCGGGCGGGACGAGCGTGTGGCTGGAAGCGCGGGGAAGGGACGAGGAGGACGGCACCGTGTGATCAGTTAGGGTCTGTTCGCGAGGCACCAAGAGATTCTAGAAGAATCCTGCGGCCCTTTCTGGGCTGGATTTGCTTCTCACCCAGAGACCTCTCTCCCTCCCCACCCTACTGTGGGGTTTCATCCTATCGCCCCCTGCCTCGCTTCACACACACACACACACACGTGGGTACAAGTTCCACTGGAGGAAAAATGGTAAGGACCGACAAAAGGCCTTAACGTCAGGTAATGAGCTCAAAAAACCGCTTCCACTAGGATTGTGCGCAGGAACCTGAGCCTGGGGGCTGCACCCCCCTGGCTCGCTCACTGCTGAGGGAGAGGAGGAGAGCAAGACCCAGCACAGCGTATAACTGGTCAGTGAGCAAGTGGCAGAGGGAGCGTGCGGGGAGACGTGCAGTCCACGTGGCCAGGCGGGCTGTGAAGGCAGATGTGGGAAAGGGCAGCTGCAGGACGGAAACGTGGTTCTCGGGGATTTGCTGTGTCGTTGGCCGATTTATCTATCCAGCCACACAGAAGAGAGAGAGAACCAGTCCTGACATGGAGATTAACAAAGTGTGCTACCACAAAGTAATAGCTCTGTTTCTTAAGGGCAAGAAAGACTACGTTTGGGATTCGATGCAATGGAGGATGTTAAAGGAAATCAAAGAGGAGTTGTGCTCTGCACTGGAAAATTGGGTTGTGTAAAGGATGGTATGAATGCTCAGCCAGAGGCGAGATCAGGGAGACGGTGTAAGGCCTGTTTATTAAATGGGTGAGTCTGGTGCCATTGCTTTTAGCGAAGTCAAAGTCGAAATTGAAGAGATCAGACCATGAAAATCACTGTGCTTGCTTATGGTTATTTAAAAAAAAGTTAAGTAAACACAGATTTAAAAGGCCTTAATGAAATCTAAACAACTTTCTTTTACCTTCGAGATTAAAAATGTGCACCCAATTCAGCCTTGCTTTTGAAGTTTTTTAAGGTTTGAAAAGGTGGGAGCATCTTAACTGTAGAGAGCTTTTAGTAAGCAGAGGGGGCTTGAACCCACTATTACCACATTTTACGTTAAGAAAACAGACCTCCCCTTGGGTGACTACATTCTAAACATGCAAATCCATGTGCAGAAAGAGGCAGCATTTTTTAGTTGATTTTTTTTTTTTTAAACTAAGTGCCATTAACATTCATCCTCCACACCCCTTTTCTAAACAAGCTTAGTGTTATTTGGGGAATGTGTTGGGATGGACGATCACATGTAAGGCAGGAAGACTAGATCAAAAATTTTGAAGGCCAAAGGTAAGACCAGAGGGTTTGTGAAGGTGTTTTTTGGATGCTAAGAAAGTTAATAAAGAAGAAAAAACAAGGGTATTACACATCTCGTGGAGAAATGAGAAAGCATTCAGATCTGCTGCAAAACACATATATCCATAAAGACTTGGGTTGTTCAGAAAACAGATTGTGAACACAATCACATTAGCATGAATCCTTTAAAAGGAAGAAGACCTTAAAATATTTGCAAATCTGGATTTCTATTTATTCCTTCACTGAATATAGAAACAATGGTTATCTGATTATTAGAGATATTATTTTGGATATGTTACTTATTAACTTGCTATGGCTGGTAACCATGATAAAGTCTGTTATTAATAACAACATAATTCTTTTTTTAAAAAAAAAGAAAAGCTTATTTTTCATTGACTGTGTATAGATTTATCTACTTAGTTGTGTTTTGCTATTAGTGTTTTAATTTTTAAGTTGAGTGTTCTGATAAATTTTAGGAGCCTGTCCCCACCTTGTTTTGAGTCCTGTGTTGACTGCAGGTATACAGCTCAATTTTAAAATCCTAAAGCAAAAGAACTTTATTTATAAAAGAATCAAACAGTTGCATGCATAAGGCTGTGAAGTCGGATATTTAGTAATAAAGTGGCAGTGCCTTTTTTTGTATTTACCCATTGACCCCCCAAATGCAACTGTTTTATATTAATAGTAAACATTAAAAATCTTAGAATAAAATCTATTTCACTACATGTTTTCCCCCCTTTTTCTGATTTAAGCAGTACGTATTTGGCATCTCTATACTGTCCTAGGGACAGTGGTGGTCTATGATATTGTTACCATGTATGATGTTTTATTGGTGCTTTTTATTCATAGTGGTTTCTTACCAGAAACAGTAGGAAGACACACATGAACTGTGTACAAGAATTGAAACATTGCTGCTGATATGTGTCTTTTACCACACGCTTTTTGAGTTTCACTTTTTAAAACAAGGGCCAGCAAGCAAAATAGACGCTGCTGGGCCTGCCTGCAGAGGGCGGCTGTTTGCACCAAGCTCTCAAATCCTGTGTATTGATGGTCCCTTTTTGGTACTCAGGATTGGAACTACAGCTGGGCCCCCATCCCCCATTCCTTTGAAGAGACACTGAGGGAAACAAGGTTTTCTTTTGAGGTGTCACTGGCTGCCTTTTACGGAATGGGAGCCTTCTCCGGGTCTTGTGTTCTTCTGCACCTCTTGTAGCGACTGCTGGTGCAAGGTTGGTAGACATGCATTCCCCGGCTAGCACCGGGATCCCCGCAAAAGCCTGGCTGGGGGAACTGAGCTGGGCTGAGTGCATAGGCATGCAACCAGAAGGGCAGCGAGGGGAGGAGAAGCAGGCCTCAGTCTCGTTGGCCCTCTGGAGATGTCTGCAGCAGGCGGCTCCAGCTTGGGCAGGGAAGCAGCCTGACCAAGGCACTCGGGGGTGTGCCTGTTACAAGAAGGACCTGCGGAAGGATAATTTGCACATGGGGCTGTGATAACACTAATGTTGATTTTTTTTTTTTTACAAGTCATCAGAGATGTTGCAAAGTGAGTTTTATTTTTTCGTAATTCCTTTATCTTTACTTAAAGGTGAATGTGTATTCCTCTGGGAGGAATAGGAAGAAAACAGGAATGTTAATAATGTCAAACAGAAGACTTCCTCCCTCATTAATATATAACCCTCATGTATTTATGCCTAATGTAAGCTGACTTTTAAAAAGCTTTCTTTTGTTGCATGCCCCGTGCAGGCATCCCTATTGTACATGCATGCCTCTCGTCCTGTTTTCCTGTATAAAGTTAGTGAACAAAGAACTATTTTTGCCTAGTTCATGTTGCCAAGCAATGCATATTTTTAAAATTTGTCATATATGGAAATAGCATGTTTGTTACATGTAAAGCTTTCCTGATATACAGATATACTAATGTTTGAAGATGCTGTTCTTTGCAAGTGTACAGTTTTCAAATGTTGTTACCAGTGAAACACCCTTGTGGTTTAAACTTGCTACAATGTATTTATTACTCATTTCCTCCCATGTAACTAAGAATCATGGCTATATTTCATATCAACGTTATATTGAAAGTGAAGGGAAATGATTAATACAAGGTTTTGTAACACTGGTGTGTGTGTCTTTTCTCCTTTTTGTCGGTACGATTGCTTAGAAAACAAGAACCGAATCTTAGAAATAAGCCAGCAAGGAAGAATGAGCATGATATCCCTGTAAACTATTACCACCTGACCTATCTATGCAAACTGTGTCTTCAACTATGATTCACTTTTTTTTTAACAGAGTAGGGGGAGAGGTATGAAAATTTATGCAGCTCGATATGTGCTCCAACTAGTCAATAAGTGCATCACCTGACTTGAAGGCATGTTTTTAAATACAAATTCTGTCCTTGTAGATGATATTGTTTATAGCTTCCTCTCCATCCTCAATGCTTTTGAAATCCTATTTCACCCCTTAGCCATGGCATAAAGAAATAGCAGCCTCCTTGGAGCCTTGGGGTTTTAACTACATATGGTTTGAATCTCATTATAATACCTCTGATTCCAGTATGATATTTGATATAAATAATGTCAAGCATATGGTTGAAGAGACTAATGTGGGTTTGAAATCTCTGGGTGTGTGATATGCAACAAGTTACTTAACCCCTCTGAGCCTTCGTTTGGTTTTTTTTTTTTTTTTTGGCCTAGGATACTCAAGGTTTATATAATTAAACCAATAATCCAAAAAAGAAGAAGGTAAAGACAAAAGAAAACATAGGATATAGAAGTTATCGCAGTCCAAGACTTCTCTGAGGCAACCACAGCTTGAGCATTGTAAGAATGGCCACACAATGACTCCCTTTTCACCAGGCTCAAGCTGCTCAAGTGACAAGCAAAATCCAAAACAGTCCCTGGAAACATGTAGAAATGCCTCATAAGCTGAGATATTAAATGAAAAATTTTTTTTAAGATTTTATTTGTTTGACGGAGAGAGACACAGCGAGAGAGGGAACACAAGCAGGGGGAGCGGGAGAGGGAGAAGCAGGCTTCCTGCGGAGCAGGGAGCCCAATTCGGGGCTGGAGCCGGATGTGGGGCTCGATCCCAGGAACTTGGGATCATGACCTGAGCCGAAGGCAGACGCTTAATGACTGAGCCACCCAGCACCCCTATTAAATGAAATTCTGCCTAAAGTTAAATTCTCATAACTCAAATGAGCTGTAGCTCAGTGTACGACCAGAGTATTCTAAAGGGAGGGGGATAATGTGCAAGAGAAAAGTCGAGCCTCACTTTTGCAATGTGTGAATTGAGGGTAAATGTGAAAGGTATATACAAGATGAAGAGAAACAGGGCTCAGCACGGTGCCTGAAAGGAGTTGGTTAGTGATTTTTGTCAGCAAAGCTGCAGCTCTTTGCCACTGACCTGAGTAATGGAACGTTCGATCCTGGAGAGGTTATTCATATAACAAAGCATTTAGGACTTCCCCTAACAGTACTCCCCACAGAAGAGCTTTAATTCCATTATTAAAGGGGGATGAGTAACACCTCTCTAGCATACTGGGTGGGAGGAGGCTGCCGTGGGCTTGTGCGAACAATCCAGAAGCAGCACAGGTGGGCACTATCAACTCACGCTCTCTATGCTAATGAGGAGACTGCCAACGGGGCAATACAAGGAGAATCCAGACTCCTGTGACAGCACCTTAGCTTGGTCCCTTGAACAGTTACTACATCTAGCCACGGCCCTGACTCCCTATCAGCCCAAGACTTGCAGAAGTTGAGAGGAGGTCTTGAGGACAGCAAAAATGTCACCCATAACTAGAACCTGATCCTTCTCTACAAAGACGTGGAGGGTCAGCATGGACCCGGCCCACCGGGAAGCAGAGCGTGGCAGCCTGTAGGTCACCCGTTGCCCCGGGCCCTGGGGGCAATGCCGGCACATCGCACTCAAGCGCTATCTCACTGACATCACTCCCCAGCCTTCCACAGGCACTTCTGTTCTGTTTTCCAGCCACACATCCCAATACTTGAAAACCACCCCTTCTCTGAGCACCTCAGCCTCTGGATTGTCAACAGCAGCTCTAGGATGCCCTAGCTCACTCTGTTTTTCAAACCATCTATGAATTACACTTGTAGTGGTGGCTATTTATTTTGAATCCACATAGCCCAATTCTTTTGTAAAATACAATAAGCCTTTTTTTAAGACAAGCCCCCGTGTCATACTAGAGTCAACAAAATTATTCTGTCAAATTGCTATAAAAAGTAGCACTGAGTTGGCTCCCTAAGCTCTCGGGTGAGTGTGCAAAATCAGTCTGGGATACTGCCCTCCGGATGAGATGATGGATCCTCATATCAGGTCAACAACGCCCACAACACAGTAGAGAAGTGCCCATCAGGTCTGAGAAATACCTAGAAGTGGGCCCGAGAACAGCGATGGCTTTATTCCCTATGCATTTCTAAGAGCTGAAAACAAACCAGTTGAGAAAGGGGACATGTTGGAAGGGAAGGAAGAGGAGAATCCAGAAGGTAATGGGACTGGTGGTGGGAGGTGAGAGCCTGAACCTGGAGTCTCTGGAAATGGAACAATAGGACACTGTTTCCAGAGCAACCCCGAGATGGGTCTTCTCACTCCCCATGCTCGGCTGCTGGCCCAGATGGATTGAGAATGGAGGATAGCTCCTCTGTGTGTGTGCGTCTGTCTACACATTGAGGATACAGGTACATGAAGGAGGAAATGTGGGTGACTGGGAAATTGGGGAACTTTGGCAAACTTAAGCATGACATCTCAATGATTGCTGAGGAGCTCTGTTGGAGTCAATGGCCATTCACAGTATCCTCCCAGGTAACATCTTGGCCCAAGGGCTCCATCTGACCAGCTTTGCTCACAGGGCTCTTGCACACATATAGTGACTTCTCTGGAATATAAACCTGGGAATTCAACGTCTGAGAATTTCCTCCATGGAATATTTTTCACTCTTAAGTGGTTTCTACTTCAATTTTTAAAACTGACGGAGAAACATTTTGGCAACCTTATAAAGCTCAGACTTTATAAAAAGACAGCTTTGTGTTTATGCTTGACTCCGAATGCATGTTTTTAAATAGTGTGTTCCACAGTTTTTTGAAGTTTTTTTTTTTGTTTTTTTTTTTAAGTCCTATCCAGGAGAAACAAAATCAGAGCTTTGGTGAGTGAAATGGCCCCATCAGAGCTGCTGGATCTGGAGACAGTAGAGAGGTTCCAGTTAAGTCTTCCTGTGGGGACCACACCCACGACTAGGTGTCCCTGTTTGCGCCAACATTCTTAGGAGATGGTTCTGGTTTTCCATGCCATAAAATTCTAACAGGCTCCAGAGTGAAGTCCGATGAAACAACCAAACCCCAAAATCCAATCTGTCCAATCAGACCTCATCACTTTATTCCAAACTGGAGTACATACAGAGTCAGCAAATTGTGAATGAGAGAAATAAAATGTATACATGACAAATCATTTCCGCCATCCATCACCAAATGCATATATCCAACCCATGGACAGAGAACATACATCCTACAGCTCTTCTCCCATCCCTGGGCTCTGGGGTCCAGGCTGCTTCATCTACTAACCTACTCCACTGTCCTCTCCTAAGACACAGAATCTAAGCCCTCGTTCACCCCCAGTTCACTGTGTTTATCCAGTGTGCCTCTAAAGTGTTCGTGTCATGACAGCAGGCCCTAGGTTTGCTGTCTTCCTCCTACAACAGGACTTCCTGAAGACTCAGTGCTAACCAGCCGGCTATCTGAAGACAGAGGATACCTTGCAAGACACAAGTGCCATGTTCTTTTTGGAACAGGTAGGTGAAGTTCAATTACAGTGAGGCCTCTTCCCTATACCCACCTGAGAAAAACAGAGATGCCCCAGCAGGCCCTCTGGGGGGTCTTGTGATTCTCTTAGCCTGAATGATATGAGCCCAGGGACCAGGGGTCCCCAAAAGGGCAAGAGGGAGAATAAGGACGGCTGTACAGGTCCAGAGCCCAAAGGAAGCCAGTGGGCAGAGCTCTGTGCTCATCCTTGGGTTCCCTGAGGAAGCCAAGCTCACCACAGAGGAACATCAAACACCAGCCATGCCATCCAGGTCCCTAGGAAGAAAGGGAACAATACCAGAAGGACAAAGGACAGGAACTGTGGAGAGAGCCTCAGGGGCATTCCCAGTTTGAGGCAAGAGAGAGCATGTGAGTTTAAGGAATGGAGATGAGTAAATATGGGACTGGTATGGAGAATGCAGAGAATAGGGAGCCATGGGGCTGGGGGGCAGGGGCAGGGACGGGATAGAGGCAGAGGTAGGGTGGTAAAGGACCTTATAAATCAGGATGAAAAATGGAGACTCCGCCTACAGGATCATTCCTGTCCTTGTTGGGGAGTGATACGATCAGACATGAGGGGTTTTGTTTTGTGAAACAAAGGGCCTGTGGAATGTCTCCCTCCTGTTCTGTTCCCCAGCCACCACTGCCCTGCCCTGGAGGCATTCAGTGGTAGTTTCTGGGGTGCCCACTAAAGGTATTTTATATGTTTACAAACACTGAAATATCCACCACCACCCCCCCTGCCTTTTACACACACAAGAGCATAGTATGCACACCGTTCCTCATCGTGTGGTATTTTTCTTTTTTATCTTCAATCGGTTTTGGAAACCATTCTATATCACTGCCTCATACTCTTTGATGGCTCCACAGTGCTCCACTCCATGGCTTAACACCACTCCTTAACCAGCCCTTTACTGATGGACACGCAGGTTGCCTTCACTCTTTCTGTTACAAACAGTGCTGTGATGAAATAAATTGTACATGGGTCATTCCCTTGTGTGCAAGGGTTCCCACAAGTGAGAAAGTAGGGTTGCTGGATTAAAGGATAGCACATCAGTCAGGATGCTCCAGAGAAACAGAACCAGTAGATTACAGAGGAGAGAGAGAGAGGCTTATTTTATGGAATTGGTTGTGAGGGCTGGCGAGTCTGCAATCTGCAGGGCTGGCCAGCAGCTTGGAGACTCAGACAGAAAGGAGCTGATCCTTCAGTCCTGAGGCAGAATTTCTCCTTCTGCTAGAAACCTCAGTATTTGCTCTTAAGACTTTCAACTAATTGGATGAGGCCCACCTACATCATCAAGACAA